TTTTTTCAACATCAGTCAAGACTAACATCTGGTGTGAGACCTCTTCCTCAGGTTTATAATCTAACAGTGACCGCAGTACTTGTTTTGGCAGCACTGAGGAAGAGGGCTATTTTGAGGAGGTAGACAGAGATGGAAATTTGAGAAATATTAGATTTCCAGGCAAAGTCCCTCCCCTGGGCAGTGGGGGTGGAAGGCAGTGTAATTTAGTAAAAAAACACAATGACAACTGGCCATGTTTGATAAAGCCGAAATACACCTGCCACTCCCGGTCACAGACTCAGTGATAAGGAGAATGTACAGTACCAGATGTGAGAGGGTGTCAATCTCATCAAACACCCAGCTACCCTGGAAACAGCTGGATGCTTCATCAACAGCACACCAGATGAGTGCTTTACAGAATAAAGAAAGTATAACACCTGGTACAGAGCCATGTGGAGGAAGCTCACGGGAACTTGCCATACAATTCCGTTTACATCAAGTTCAAAACCAGGCAAAACTAATCCAGGACAATAGAAAACTGAGTGTGCCCTTGGGCTAGGTAATCTAGTTCTCTGATGGAAGGTGATGACACCACTGTCTACTCTGGAGGTTTGTCTTGACAGCTGCTAGAGTGTGTCTTTGCCCTAAGAGATGGTTATACATTAACCTTAAACTAGAGGATCACTTCAAAATCCAGCGGATCGCTTCATTCAAACACATGACCACACAGCACATTTTGGTCACAAGGTTCTTAGCAGCAGTCCAACCACTGGAGAACTTCGGACAAGATGAAGCAAGGTGTCAGCTGCTGGCTTGTGCCAAACGGTGGACTCTGTACAGGCTGCACGCTTCACATCATCACATTTTTCAGACATCTGCTACTATCAGGCAGTTTGTGTCCAGTGTTTAATTTCACTTTTTCTACTCTAAGAAGTCAGTGTAAGAGATAAAAACCCCTGAAGTTCAGAGAGTTAATCAACCAAATTGTGCCAGGCCCTTGGCTAGCTCAAGTCTAACCTGTACAGAGCGTAGAACTTCATCTGCTTCCATGCAGGGGGAGCCGATGAAGAGAGAGGACTATGAAAAAGATGGCTTCACACACAGGTAGGTCATCAGTAATCATGAACCTTTCGAGTCTAGGGAACTTGGACTAATGGCCTCCATCCCCCACCCCTGGCAAAGCTTACCAGTCCTTGCCAGGTCATGTTATAGCCAATAGGACTTTTACCTATCTCTGACCTGGTGCTGTCTCCCTTTTCCCAGAGATCTCTGTACCCAAGTATACCACACATAGCTTGGCCCAGGGTAACCAATCTAGAATGTTTTGATTAGTCCTGGAACTTAGGATGGTCTCAATGACAACAGGGCATCCCCCAGGGAACCAGAAGAAATCAAAGTTCATTGCACGTCAGACAACAGGATTTCTTTGAGAGTCAGATCCTATCATGTGTTTGGGATCAGTAGCTCCTCTCCTGAAACTGAAAGGGGCAAGTGTTCTCAAGTGTACCCACTCTTTTGCCAAAATCCAGTTTACTTGGAATGAGAACAAGGATTAACTGCACCACCAGCTTCTTGCCCTCATGTAATTTAGGAAAATCACTGTAAAATAATGCTTTCTAGTAAATGAGAAAAGGGATCACTCCCCATGGCTCAGCAAGTATGGATATTTACAAGGCTTATTTCAGGCATTTCTTTCAAGGTTAATTGGAAGGATAAAGGCTGAGTATATTCTGAGATCCAGTAACTGGCAAACAGCCAGGCACTGGTAAACAGAATGTGACTTTTCTCTCATCTCAGAGGATGACAATAACTGATCTCCCATTTCGTTCAACAAAGGAAGGAGTTACAGTCTTGAGTGCTACATGACATGGTTCCGCCTCCAGGTAAAAGTCAACAACATACGATTGTTTATGGTGGAGTCCAGGTTCACCACTGAGACAAAGACTAAAAGCAGCGAGGAGGATCAGTTTTCAATGGAAGAATAGAGAGCTAAGACACACTGTCAGTAGCTGTCACTAATGGCGATGAGACAGAGGAAACACTGGTCTCCTAAAACTTCTTATTCAGCTGCAAAAGGGTTCTCTTTAAGATGACGTGTTTTTGTCCTCCCTTTTTCCTTCCCTTCCTTTTAGAAAAGGGACAATCCCAGGCTACTGAGAGTATAGAAGGAAGTCATTTAAATAGGACTTCGTTAATTCAAGTTCTTATCTTTTTCTTTTTTGGCAGTACTGATTTGAACTCTTCACGCTAGCTAGGCAAGTACTTGAGCCACTCTGCCAGCCCTGCCTGTTCTGTGTTGGATATTTTCGAGAGAGGGTCTCGAAAACTATTTGCTGGGCTGGCTTTGAACCACCATCCTCCTGATCTCTGCCTCCTGAGTAGCTAGGATAACACGCATGAGCAACCAGCGCTTAGCTGCTTTTGTTACTTTGTGAATGGGTCTCGAATTTATGCCTTAGTCAGTCTGATCTGTGACCCTCCTATTTCTGCTTCCCACTTAGTTGGGATGACAGGCATGTCCCGCTTTTTTGATTGAGATGTGGTCTCACCAACTTTTGCCTGAGCTGGCCTCCATCCTCCCAATCTTCACCTCCCAAGTAGCTAGGATTGTAGGCATGAACCACTGCATCTCCAAGTTTTAACTTTGAAAGAAAAATGAGATGCTTAGGACAATGCGGTCGCTTTTCAAAGGCATTCGCAAAAAGTTTGCAACTCTTTAAAGATGCTACTAAGGTCGCCTTTTATTAACCCATTCCCATCCTCCCCCCACCCCCAGGTAGGTTTACAGGGGTTTAAGAAACATGGTTCCCAAGAGAGATCAAGAGGTCTACTTACTTCCTAAGGGAAAACAAGTGATCTTGCGAATTTTAAAGCTTTCTTCATAGAAATACCCACTGCCATCAACTGTTTGACTTCTGAATCAGCCTGAGACTGGCTGTCCAGTCAGGTGCAGAGAGAAGGGCAACCTGGCCCACTTGGCTCCATTCCTATTCGAAGCCTGCTTTTGAGTACATGTACCCAACATGGAGGAGGTTCCAGCATGCAAGGTGCACATCATCTGTTGGGGTTGACAAAGCCCATCTGCTCAAAAATCCTGCTTGTTAAGCTGCACTATGGAACAGACCCAGTTGACAAACACCAGGAATGCCAAAAATGAGGCATTAAGACCAGTGTCAAAATCTACCTCTGGCAGGTTTGGGATACCTGGGGGCCTAAACCACCTGTCTGACCTGTGGCCTGAACACCGATCTGACTTTCCATTCAACTCAGGCAAAATGGAGCTGTGAGGCCTCCATTTGCAAGGTCCCCTGGAGCTTAAAGGTCAAATGTGTCTAAGAGTCAAAGTCAGGCAGGCAACGATGAAACAGAAAGGTGCTGGCTCAGCAAGGAGCCTGGGAATGATTTCTGCACATGCTATGCAGCCAGAGCCCAGGGACAGCTGCACCATCAGCCCTGCCTGCCACAAGCTCAGTGTCCCATGACAACACCATTCATGACACGGGCTGCCACAACAGCCATCCCCAGCCTTGCTTCCTCCTCCTCTCGAGCCCACCTCTCCGCCAGCACCCTGGAATGGCTGACTCTCCAGAGCCTGAGTTAACAGCTGACAAGGATGACAGAAATGAGGAATAGGCCAGGGTTTGGTACACATTTTAATTTTGTCACTTAGCCAAAGTTTGCTTTAGAGGCATCACAGTGAAACAGATTTGACAGAAAAATGATACTCAGAACATTTTGAACACTCGTGCCTGGATGTCATCGTGTGACTCCACAGATCACTCTGCAGACCCCATCATGCCAAGGACACCAGGGTACTCTTCTGCTTCCCTGTGCTGGAGTAGAGGATGTCCTGGCTGGCCTTAGCAGTCATGGCTGTGTTTGGCTTTTGTCCCTCAGGGGATGTGTGGTCTGGAGTTTGCTTTCTGGAAAGTCTAAGCTTCCCACGCTCAACAGTCATCACTGAGAGCAGCAGCGACAGCAGCCATCAAATGGGTTCCATGTTTGGTGCTGGGTAATGAATTTGCTTTTATTCCAACCTGAGTGAGTACATCCCTACCTTGTCCAGGAGAGGAAAGCAAGGTTGACCAGCTGTGGACAAAGTCAGGACCTGAATCCAGCCTGATCCTGCAGCCTACATCCTATTCAACACAAGGCTATTGGATTCATCTCCACCCAATGGCACATCCCAGACCAGAACTAAGCCTGAGCTGCTGTGCAGCTGCGCTGGGCTGGTGAGTGTGGGACCACCTGGCGCACCTGTGCTCAGTGGCCACACAGGGCCGGCCCCACCCCGTGCTCTCTTCCCCCCGGCCCCATTCTTCCAGCACTCCTCCCTATCCTAGTCTTGCTTTCATTCCTAGGCTGGGTTATTTACCATCCTGGTTCGAGGGGATATTCTTCCCGGAAGTACCAGACTCCCCTCACCACTGTAACTCAGGACTCGGAGCACGGGGCAACCATCAGCTAAGTGACAAACTTGTCTCAATAGAGCTACATCCCCGCACTTGCTGCTCCCCGCCCCAGGCCACGCTCCTCGGTGTGGTCACTGGCCATCTGTCTGGCTGAAGAGAGAGTGGGGTGTGTGTGTGGGCTAAACTGTCAGAGAAGCCTACTCATTTCTGGTGAACAAGGATCACCATGTGCAAAAGACTTTTTACAACCATTTACAGATCAAATTCTACAACCATGCACTGTGCACATTTTAAGAACATGGAAAACGGCAGGCACAAAGCCTCTAGTCAACAGCAGACAACACAACATGATTACAACAGACACTTCAGTCTGATCAAGGTAAAAGCCACTTTTTGACTTGTCACTACACTACATTTAAAAATACTTTCTACACAAAAGTATTTTTTAAAGTGCAATAATTTCTGTCACTACAGATTTAGAATGGCAAGAATATATTTTATTTTTTTCATAAAAGTTCTAACAAAAATATATTTTTTCCTTAACTTAAAATTACAAGTTCAGAAAACAAAATTCATGTTGTTATAATTCATTACACATTTTACAAATAGCTGTAAAGGAAGTAGTCAACAGAACGGATGCAAGTTTTAAATGTGGAAATACTCATTTCAGAAGCTTGACTTTGTCCTTCAATAGCTTAAAGGTGGGGTTCTTGCTGATTTTCTTGTTGAAGATGACCAGGAGCTCCTCCTCAGATCTGTGATGGTCATTTGTCACCATGTGATACTGGGCTAAAACCTTCACACACAAAAAAACAGGTCACATGGGGACATTTATCCTGGAAATCTACGTTTTAGATTCTTTCTTTAACCCAGAAGTGGGCAACAGTGAAAATTTTTAAAAAGCCAGCTACTGGTCACACAAACACAAAGTTACAAAATAAAGAGAAGACACCACTGCTCTAGCATCAGCAAAACAGTGAAATATCTACAATAATTTTCAAACATGATAATTAGATAAATGGAGACTCTCTTCAACACAGTCTTAGAGGCAAGTCCAGAACCTTAGAGCTTCCCTGGACGAAGCTGAAATGGGTGAGGCCGATTCTGGCTTCAGACCCTGAGGACCAGCTTGAAAACTACTATTTGCAACTCCCCTCCCCCCGCCCCAATATTTTAGTTTATTTAAGAAACAAGTATACATTTAAAGGTCAATCCTCTACAGCCATCCCATGACAGTTTGTCCATACAATGTACCTTTTTCCTTAGCTTTTTGATCGCAAGTTCATTGTCTGGGGCTTGTTTCAGAACTGCTTTAATAGTTCCCTTCCAGTTGAATTTTCCTACAATATAAACAATAGTGAGACATTTTGTTTCGTTGTGTCACCAGAAGGCAAAGAAGCAATTTTTGCACATTTATTTGCTTTTTGGGAAACTGACCTGACACTCCTGTGGACAGGATGCCAAAGCACCATGTGACAGTCCCTTTATCCAACCACAGGGTGCCTTCAAAGCATTTGTGGGGACAGGCGAAACAGGCATCGCAAACACCGTCACCAGGACAAACCCTGGTGACTTGTGTCTGATGGATCAAGAAGATGTACTGGACATCATCCACTAAGACCATGGGCTGTTGAGCCACCGCAAGGAAGGAAAAGATAAACAGAAGCAGCTTGGCCTTGGACGACAGGGGCAATCGCACTGGAAACGCTCACCCAGGGCCTCGAGCGTGCTGGGAGGATGGAGAAGACAGGCTGTCACTGCTGCTAAGCACAGCCAAGACTCTGTGCTGGGACGAGGGCCTGCAGGGCCAGGGCCCTGAGCTCCCTTTCCTTCCCATGGACCAGGTCTGGAGGTGAAGAAACAGCAAGTAGGAACGTGCCCCCACAAGCATGTGGACTGGCAAAGCACTGGGAAAGGCACCTTACAACGCAGAAGCAATGATGGGCACCACTCCACACCAACAAAGACCACAGAACATCTGGGCTTCATTACCTAGGGCTACGGCCCACCACGGGCCTTAACAGACTGACAGCGATGGTGCCAAAGGTAGCCCAGGAGGAAGCTGGGGCTTTTATCCATACTGGTGGGTAATGAGGCTGTCTGGCTGTGGTGTTAGAGGGGGCAGAGAGAGAGAGCCCCCACCTGGCAGACACAAGGACCCCAGCCTCCTTCCACCTCCACTGGCAGAAGTAATGTCCTGCCAACCCCTCCCCGCCACGCCCCACACACACTCAGAGAGTCCTGAAAGAAAATCAGTCACACAGAAAGTGCAAATAAGAAGCCAGGCAGGACTACAAGTTCAAGCTCAGCTGGGTTACATAAGGGAGACCCTGTCTCAAAACAAAATTAAAAAGAGGCAGTGGGAGGCGGGGAACTGATAACCTTAGTTCAGTGGCAAAGTGCTTGTTTAGCTTGCACGAGGCCCTGGGTTCAATCCCCAGCAACACACACACACACACACACACACACACACACACACACACTCACTCACTCTCTCTCTCTAAATGGACTGCAGTCTTAAATATAAAATGGGAAGCTGTAACCCATCTGGAGCACACTTGACATTTCTTAAGAGAGTATGTATATCTTAACTGTTCTCACCATAGGCAGTTATTTGCAATGATGGGTATGTTAAATTAGTTGGTTGTAGTGCTTTCATAATGTGTATAAATAAAATCAACATTGAGTTGTATACCTTAAATACACAAAAGTCTTATATGTTAGAAAAAGATTTACCTTTCGCTTCTTGGCCTCTTGGCTAAGATCAAGTGTAAAAAAGATTCACCCAAAAATTTAGAAAACAAAAAATCTCTGGAATCTAGGACAAGGCAGAGTTCTTTGTATAATCCATACAAGGAAACACTGCTAAGTGAACTTCACAAAAAAGAACATTTTCTCCACAAAAGACTGGAAAGACCCTTCAGAATCACATATCCCGCCAAAGGATTGCTACTTAGAATATGCAAAGAAGTCTCAAATCGTTTTAAACAGTAAAATATCTCCAAATAATCCAATTAGAAAATGGGCAAAAAGACCAAGAACAAGTCTGTTTATGGAGATACATACCCCAATGTCTGATGTCTGTGTTAGGTGTACCCGCACCATGGAATGCTACTCAGTAAGAAAAAGGAATGATTACTGCTCCATGCAGCAACCCGATCAGTCTACAGAGAAGAATGCTAGTGAAAAGAGCCTATCTAAAAGGTCACTTACCACCTAACCCCATGTACCCACACTACGGAATTCAGAGAAGTAGAGAGCAGTGACGGCAGAGGTGAAGGAGGTGGGGGAGAGGACGTGCTCTGGGTCTTGGCTGAGATGCTGTGTTCCAGAGGATGCAAACCCAGGTATGTAAGGATACTCTGCTTCCACCATTTCTTACAGCTGCCTGGGAATCTACAACGGCCTCCAACACTTTCACTGGAAAAGCAGACTGTTTACGGTGTCTGCCCAGCTTGGGCAGTGCTGGACCGCTGATAAAGCTGCAACCCCCATCTCAGTTCTTGAGTCTACTGACTGACAAGATTGGGGTGGACTTGGCACTTCCAACAGGAGGCAAAGCCTTCAGGCTGCAGAAGGGGTAAGTGCTGTGGAGAAGGGTGCCTTAGGAGGAACCCTAAAGGCCAGGGCTGGGATTTGGACAGTATGGATGGAGGCTGGGGCAGATGGGTGACCACAACTGCAAGGACCTCAGGGGAATGAGAGGCAGGACAGGAGGACTGAGGGGTGGAGGCATGAACAAGGACTTGGAAAGCCATTTGGGGTTCATCTTAAATTCCAACACAACACATTGCTCTGCTGTGGGTCTGGAATGCTCCCTGCGGCCATGGGGTGAAGTCCGAAGCCCCAGCTTGGTTGCTGTTGGGAAGGGGTAAAAGGAGGGGCGGGGCCTACTCTGAGGCCTTCCTGTCTTTGGTGGAGGAGGGGGAAGCTGACCTTGAAGGGGATAGAGGGACCCTGGTCTCTTCCTCTTTTCCTTCCTGGTCGTGAAGTGAGCAGCCTGGCCCCACTACCCGAGTCCTGCCACAGTATGCTGCTTCACCACAGGCCCCAAACAGCGGGCCTCGTGACCATGGACTGCAGCCCCTGAAGGTGAGCCAGAATGGACTCCACTCTATAAACTGATGACCCCAGGCATGCGGTACCGTAGTGGAATGCTAGCACGTACAGCTTCCAATCCAGCCTGCTCTGCTTTTGCTCTTAAAGACAGGAACAGGGCACTGTGCTGACTCACACACCATAGTGTGGATTGTTTCAAAAAGCAGATATGCCCCTCGAGGCAGGACCCTGCTGGAAGTGCCCCTCCCCCACCTAAGTAAGTGATGCTTTTCCACAACGGTAGAGATACCTTTTACAGGAGCCTCATGGTCTTCCGTCTGCCCGCCCTCAGGATGTCCTGGGACCTTCATCTTCTTCTTACAATCCGACTCAGCTGTTCAGAAAGATGAACAAGAACAGGGTTTTTGCATTGATGGCAGCTGCTACCACTAATCAGGAGCCTTCCTCATGCCAGGCACGCCCTACTCATGGTTCTCCCAGCATGGGCACAGGCACCGGTACTGGCACCGTGGGTTTCATCATCCATCCTGCATGCTGCAGATGAGGGCTGGGGGCTGAGAGCTGAGGTCACCTGCTGCCTGCCATAGGCAGGTCAGTCTGACACTTGGTTCACATGCAAGGCTCCCCAGGCTTCACACGCCCCACTTCACAGCTTGACCACTTAGGTGCCAACCCCAAGATGGCCGTGTACCTTCCGAGTGCTTCCGCTTTCTTTTTCTTGCAGCTGTCTTGGTCTCCTCGTTTGCGCCCTTCTTGGGGGTCCCGGCCCCCTCTTCTGTCACCTGCTCCTCCTGACCCCTTTTCTTCTTGCTCTTCTTCCCTGCCAAGCCGTTGGCCTTGGGGGCTTCCTCCCTACCGGCCTCAGGTTCAGCCTGTCCCTTTCTGCACTTCTTAGGCTTCTGACTGCTCGAGTTTTCTAGCTTCAGTTCTTTCTTTTCCTTTTTTCTGTTCTTCTGCCGTTCTTCCTTCCTCTCTCTCTTATTCTTCTTTGCCTCCGCTTGCTCTTCTGTGGGGCCATTTGCTTTAGGGGATGGAACGCTGGTGGAGACGTCTGCCCGTGGCTTTGCTGTTTGGTCAGGTGGCTGCTGATTTTCCTCCTTATTGACTGGCTCCTTATTAAGGAAAATAAGAAACAGATGTATTTGGTCAAACTGTGTAAATATAGATGTTTGCAAAATTATGTGTCTACAAAATAAACCGTTCAAGAAAAATGATTTTATAACCCCCCCAACACTAAAATACAGCAATAAAGACACAAAATGAGGCAAAAAACTCCCCCCATCCCATACCCTTTCCTGCATGAAACAGATGCTTTCCCTGCACTGGAAAGTGAAAGAATGAGGAGTGCTTATATCGCTTAAGCCAGACTTTTTGCTCACGATTCATCTTTCATTTAGATGAAAAGAGCCCTTAAGTGTGAAAGTGGCCACTGGAGTTATGTGTCTGCAGACCTGGGTTCAGGGTCCAGTTCTGTCCACTACAACTCAGGTGACTGCGGGCAAGTTGTCTGCTCTGAACTTATTTTTCCTCATCTGTAAAACAGAGGGTCATCCTAACTACCTTATACAGTCAGTGTATGACTAAAATGAGCAAAGACAGGTCACATGCTCAGCACAGCAGCTGCTCAACAAACCAGCCCAATGCACATTATCAGGTATTAGACAAAGTCCTGTCAGTGTCATCGTTCCCAGATGAGATGGTTGCCTTCGAGGACAGCCAGGGACACCCACACAGAGCAATGATTGTGCTGTGGTTTAGGTGTCTCTCATAGGGTGATGTGCTTGACGCTTGGCCCCCAGATCGTGGGAGGTGGTGGAAACTTTAAGAGGTGAGCTCATGGCTGCCCAGCTCCTGAATCTTCCTGGCTCCCCGTCTCACTGTGTCATCTCTTCCACAAGGGTTCCCACCATCATACCATCTGCCATTCCATGATGCAGCCAGAGGCCCTCACCGGAGGCCAAACAGATGGGGCCACCCAATCCTAGACTTTCAAACTCCTAAACCGTGAGCTGACCAAACCTTTCTTCTTTATTAAGTACCCTGCCTCAGGTACTTTGTTATGGCAACAAAAAATAAGCTAATATGAAACCAAAGAAAACTAGGTAACCATGTGCACTGGAACAAAATAGACTTTCCGTCTATGGCATTACCCGGTTAAGATCAGGACACAACCTAATACAAACAGTGATGTCACTGTAGCTCAGTCCCATTTCCTGCTGTACTCCCCAGTCCCCTTTCCTCAAGAGATGAGAACGAGACTGCTCTGTGCCTCTGCAGGGGAAGGGAGAAGGCTGTGCCAGGGCTGGGGACACCTGGGCCGAGGCACCTGCAGACCTGTGTGCAAGTCTCACTCCATTCACCACCAGCCATGAGACATGGGACCAGTCTTCCTCCTATGGAGGACCAAATGGAGGGCATAATTCAGGCCTTACCACTCAACGTCAGGAAGGGTGTCATTAGGAAACAGATATTAAACTGCTGAAGTTTTCTCAGAAGCAGTTTGAAGACTGCTCATGAAGGCTCATGGGTCAAAGGGGCCAAGGATAAACCCAGAAACAGACTTAGAAGGAAGACTGGGGGACAGAAACTTTACCGCTAGCCCACAGTCCTGTGTCTTTTGGTAAAGTATCAGTATAATATATCAGTTTCCTGTTACTGTAATGAAACACCTGAGGAACTATCTTATAAAGAGGAAGGGTTTACCCTCACTCATCACTCTGGAGGTTCCAGCCCAAGACCAAGTAACCCATTGTTTTGGGCCTCAGGAAAAGGTGGTTCATCATAGCGGGACTGACAAAGCAAACCACTTGCCTGCTGAGTCAGGAAGCAGAAATAACAAGAGCCCCTTCAAGGGCATGCTACCACTGACCTGACCTCCTCCCACTAGGCCCCATCCGCTAAAGGTTTTACCATCTTCCAATAATGCCAACAGGCTGGCAACCAAGCCTTGTAATACATGGACTTCTGGGAGCCATTCATCACACAAACAGCAACATACAACCAGAGTACCAGAGCCTTTAGCCTCCCCACTACCAAATTCAGACCACAGCTCCCACTTGCCTCTACACCTAAAACATCAGCTCCATGTAGGGTGGAAGGCACACAGTCATCCGTCCAGCAGCTGCTCAACAAACAAGTGAAACAATCCTTCCCCACCTTCTTCCTACTTCATTCCAGGCTCCCAAGTGATGCCTTCCCTAAGGGAACACCCTCCTTTCCCCCTGCCCCTCACCGCCTCCGGCTCTTCACAGCCTTCACTTCTCAGGACCTGACACGACATGTGAACTCTCATCCACTGTAGACTGTCTCCCACTAGGACACACCTCCACCAGGACAGGATTAAGGTCTGATTATGCCTGCATCCACAGCGCTATGGGGAAGAGGAATTTGTACAGTCCAGGACAGAAAGCCCTTGCCTGACACCTGGTGCTGAGGCAGGATGAATGAAGCCACAGGACCTTTTGCTCTGCACAACAAACACTAGGATGTGCGGGAGGGTCGTGGGGCAAAGGCACAGGAAGGCCGTTACCAGGCACAGCTGGCGCAGCTTACTAGTTGTCTGATTACTCCATTTAACCTTTAATGTGCTCGTAAAAACTTTAAAAGAGAACCTAGAAAAAATTAAAAACCCACAGTTGATCTGAGCAATTTCAAAACTTTGACTTTTAAGTAAAATAATGGAAATAGCATTTTAAAAATAGGCACTACATAAATGCCAATTAAATGATACATGGTTATAAGGTTTTGACGGTTCAATTTCTATATACTGAAAGAGACAAGGGATATATATACACATACATATATATATAGACATACATATACGTATATATATATATATATATATATATACCACAAAATAAAGTTTCATTTTGATTCCAATTTGTTGCCCAACTATTTTTCTATACAAAGCAAGTAACTTCTAAAAATTTGACTAGAATCCCTGTTTTTTGAAACTATTGGTACAACTCTCCAAATAGGATACAAATATAAACGGATGGGAAAAAGCTGCAAATTAACAAATGTAACAGACAACGTGGTTAAAGGGTATCAAACGAAGCAAGGCATTCTGCACATTTGGGGTCTATCAGACTGTTTTCATTTTCACCAAGGAGCTCTTCCTCCTCCAGAAGGAAGGAAGAGCCCAGTGGCCACTGAATGCTGGGCACCCTCACCTGCCGCAGTACAACAACCCTGAGAGGACTTCGTGTCTCTGCCCCTCAGCTGTTTTCCTTCACAGCACCAACCACCTCTTAAGATAACGGATTATTTTTCCTCAGGACCTGACACAGATTGGGCCCCCAGTAAGTAGAGAATAAATAAACGAATATTACTGTCCACATTTTTTAGATAAGGAAAATGAGGTTCATAAGTTCAATAAACAATGTGTTCAAGACCAACCATCTGGCAAAAGCATAGCAGGGATTTGAGCCAGGTCAGTCATTCCATCATCCTCGACCTGAGTTCTAAGCCGATTATTACACGTTTGCTGGTTCCATTATCTAACAGAGGGATTAAAAACCTTTCTCTGCCAAGTAAGGCAGTCTTCTCTGCACTGTGCTCAGTGTATTCTTTCCTGGAAAGGCAGGCACAAAGGCTCTCTGAAAAAGAAGGCTGTCTTGACCTTCAAATACATGACATTCCCATTTTGTTACTGCTAATTATTTCTGCCATACCACGAACCTAAAATCGGATCTGACTTACACTGCTGGAAGCTTCAGAAAAGATATTCCACACCTGGTCCAGGACAGACTCGTTATGAACTTTTAAACTGTTCTTCATCCAATTCTGTAAGGAATAAAAAGAAAAAGGACAACTTACCCATTTTGACAAGCACAAACAGGTTCAGTCATTGGTGGCCACCCAGACCCCCAAGACTAAGGAAGTCAATCAAATCTATACCTGAAATTTTGCCTTTTTTCTGGGAACGTTGTCAAAAGCACTGATTTGTCCTAAAAGTTCTTTCACTTTGGGGCTGACATTGGGTTTCTTTATTAATTCATTAATTTTCTACAAAAAAGGAGAATGATAAGCAATTATAACATGAATTTCATGAAAGCCAAACTAAAAGTCCTCACCAAATCTAGAATCTAAACCCAGATTCTAGATTTGTGTCTATACTTAAAAATATACAGATTAACTTCTATTTAAAATAGTCCCAGCTAGTTAGGCAAGGGGAAAAATGCCTCCCTAACTAGAAAAGACAGAATTAGATAAATTAATCTCTATTCACAGGTAACATATATGCAGAATTATGACCTGATATGTAGAAAACCCTAAAGAGTTCATCTAGTTTTCTAAAGAAAAACAGAACAAACCAATTCCACAAGGCTGCAGGTAGATACAAAATCAATTCTCTAAAATCAAGTTGTATTTCTATATACCAACAATGAACAACTCAAAAAGGAAATGAGGAAAACAATTCTCTTTGCAGCACCATCATAAAGAACAGAATAATTAGGAAAAAATGACCAAAGAGGTGAAAGTTGTATAGCGAAAACTATAAAACACTGCTAAAAGAAATTAAAGTCACAAATAAATAGAAAGACTTCCCATGCTCGTTGATCAGGAAGACTTAAGATGTCAACACTGCAAAAAGCAACCTGAAGATTCAGTGTAATTCTTATCAAAATCCAGTTGTGTGTATAAACACGCACACACAAACACATGTATACATGTATACACATACTCTTTGAGAGAATCCACCCAAAAATTCACATGGAATCTCAAGGAGTCCAAAGAACTAAAATAATCTTAAAAAAGATGAGTAAGGTTTTTTATTTAAAAACTTACCACGAAGCTACAATAATCAAAATATTGTGGTACTGGCATAAAGACAGACATATAAACCAGTGGCACAGAACACAAAGCCCAGAAATGATGAAATAATATAGTTAAATGATTGTCGACAAGTATATCAACACAAGTCAGTGGAAAGGTATTGCCTTTTCAACAATACCCTTCAACAACAACTGGCGCTGGGAAAAGTAGACATTCACGTGGAAAAGAATGAAAATGGACACTTACGAGATGTATAAAATTACCTCAGAATGGATCCAAGACCCAAGCTTAAGAGGTAAAACTACAAACTCCCACAAGAAAGCAGAGGAAGATTCAAGGCATTTGAATTGGTAATGAGTTTTTGCTTATGACGCTAAAAGCACAGGCAACAAAACTTAAAAAAGGAATTGGAGCACATCAAAATGGAAGCCTTTCGTACACCAAAGACACTATCAACAGTGAAAAGGCAACCTATAGAATCAGGGAAAATATTTGGAAACATATCTGATAAGGTTTTAATATACAAAATATAAATGGAGCTCCTACACCTCAACAACAACAACAACAAAAAAACAACTAAAAACTTGGCAAAGATGTGGCTGGGGGTGTAGCTCAGTGGTTCAATCCCTGGCACCACAAAAAGGGGGAGGGGGAGAACTTGAGTAGACATTTCTCCGAAGATACACAAATGGCCAAGAATGAAAATTGCTTCACATCACTAGTCAACAGGGAAATCCAAACCAAAACCACGAGGTACCTTCTATACAGATTAGGATTGCTATTATAACGTTGTAAGTGCTGACAAGAATATGAAGGAACTGAAGCCAACGTATAGGTGGGAACAGAAAATGCTGCAGCTGTGACAGACAACAGCAGAGTCCTCAAAAAACTGGAAGTAATCACGTGATCCAGCAATCCCACTCTGGGTATATGCTAAAGCAGGGATTTGGAGAGATTGTTTTATGTCTATGTTCACAGCAGCCTTTTTCACAAAGGAAAGAAAACTAAGTTTCCATCAACAGACGAATGATAAACAGGAGGTAGTCTACACACAAGGGATGTTTTTCAGCCTTGAAAAGGAAGGAAATTCTGATAAATGTACAATGTAGATGAACCTTGAAGACAAGTGTGTTAAGTGAAATAAGCCAGTCACAGAGGAGCAAATGCTGTGTGAGGCATTTTACTTGTATGCATATTATACATCCTAGAAAAAGGGTCCCCAGGTCTTCCTCCCCTGTATGTCTTTGTCTTGCTTCTCATGGTCCATGATGCCAGCTAAAGGTATCAGCAGAATGAAGTAAACTGACAGGACTAGTCACAACTGCCATTTCTCTAGGTCTGAGCTGCACATCTAATCAGGCCGTCCACTCCACACCTTGTTAAGCGCCTGTGAGACTCACAATTTCCCAGCTGTGTGATCATCAATGACTTCCAATTTGCCAGTGTAGCTAACCATGGTTCATTATCTGACAATGAACTTGACACCACTACAGTAGGCTGAAAGAGCAAAACAATCATTTGGGGATCTAGGAAATAAACCTGAAATAGCAAGAACAGACAAGAGATGACAGTCAGTGACCAATTAGAGAGAATGCTATGGCCATCTTGGTGAAGGCAGAGGGGAAAGAATTCATTACGGTTAGGAAAACGTCAGTGGACAGGAAGGACAGTCACCAATGAGTCAATCTGATGAAGTTAAGTCAATATAATACAGGAAGTGAGCTATATATAAACAGTGCAGAAAAATGGATACAGGATTAGAAGATAAAGACTAGACAGAGCTGTGTAAGACACTGGGCAGAAAAACATCCATTAATAAAACTAGACCAGCAGAAATGAGAGAAGCATTGTGGGGCCAGCACCAGCCGAGAGCAGGACGCTGGTGACACTGGTGATGCTCACGAAGTGTTTCACAGCTATCCAGTCTGCAGGAGCCATACTCCCCTGCAGGGAAAGCCAGAGCACTCACACTGGTCTCCTCTGATTGCCTGGTTTTGTGTTGCTTTTTCTCTCTATCTTTTTCTGCTATTTGAGTGTTGTTATTTTCTTAAAATTAAGCATCTTCCTAATTTTTTTGGCGGTACTGGAGGTATGAATGCAGGGCTTCACTCTAGCTAGGCAGGTGCTCTACAACTTGAGTCACACCTCCAGCCCTTTTTTTTGCTCTAGTTATTTTGGAGACAGGGTCTTGCTTTTGCCCAGGCCAGCCTGTACTGTGATCCTCCTATTTCAGGCTTCATGATGCAGCTGGGATGACAGGTGTATGCCACCATGCCCAGCTTTTTTCCATTAAGATGGACTTTTTGCCTGGGCTGGCCTCAAGCCACAATCCTTCTGATCTCAGCATTCCAAGTAGTTAGGATTAAAGGTCTTAGCCACCAGCACCTGGCTACCATCATCCTATTTTTTATTAAAACAATAAAATCTAGCAAGAAAAAGAAGGAAGCAAAGGAACAGAGTATTGGAGATGAATGGTGCACTTGATGGCCAGCCCCAAATACGGAATGTGACCAGTGTAGTGGGAAATTTGGGGCAGTAGACAGAACAAAGAAGTGGGGAGCTGGAAAGATGACATGATCAAGTCTAAATGCCAAAGAAGACAAGGTCCCTGAGCACTTTATAGCACTAATGACTTCAGAATACCCAATCGACTGATAAAAAAGCATTTAGAGAACAGGGATCCCTCCTGACATGATTCCTTAATTCTATCTAAAAAGTTTAAGGGATAGAACCCATACATGCGTGCCTATGAAAAGGACAGAGCAGCCCAGTGCCTCTCCCAGAATGATCTGTACCCCCTCAGCTATCTGTCAATGTAACCCCTTGGGGGTGGACCAGCAGGCTGGACAGAGCCAGGGCAAAGGCCACAGAGCCTTTTCTGTAAAGCAACAGTCAGCAGTTCAGGCTTTACAAGTTGTTGCAACTATTCATTGCTACCCTTACAGCGCCAAAGGAACCAAAGACAATATATAAACCAGTGGGTATGGCTGTGTTGCAATAAAACTTTATTTACAAGATGGTCTGTGAACTCTGGTTTGCTTCCTCTGCTTTAGAGGATTTCACCCCAGTATAATGACAGCAGAGAGGGAAGCAAACAGCCCCAGGAGCCCAACAATGCCATCGGCACTCAGGGGACCCCAGAGAGCATGCCCTACAGTGGGGCTGCTGGCTGCCAGCATGAATACCTTAAAGGGGGCTTCTCTACCTGCACTGGGAGGACACTGCAGGTCCACTGTAGAGGGAAGAGCTGTCCTCCTGGGGGTAAGCAGTTTAACAAGCTCATCAGCATCACAGAGTTCACATACTGTTACTCAATAAATGCAGCCTTTCTTCAGAGATAACACTTGCCTTCTCATTCTCTACCTCCGCTCCCATCCCTCCTCCTGCTCTCTCCTCTGCAGAGGGCAGTGGCACCCCGGAAGCTCAACTTCTCACTGCTCTAGCAATTTATGTTGCTCATATTTTCATTTTACTTTAGCTAAACAGAAAACTCCTTCTATTCGTGAAAACGTCAATTTTGTCTGATTCTGATGACAGACATGACTGTCTTCCATGGTTTGAACTATAAAAGCTGCATTGTAAGGAGAGAAAGATTAGAAAGATCCTATTTGGTTTTGTAAGCAAAGGAAAGCTAGCAAGATTTCTTAACTATTTTTGAAACTCAGATCCAAGACATAATGCACCACAACTGTATTACCAGTTAGAAAAGTTATTTTCCAAGAAGTTCTAAACAACCCTCGGTCTACCCTGAGACAAGATGTTTCTGGGCTATGTCTGCATGGTTGACCCTCTTACGGATGACACTTCCCAAGAAAGCGGAGGGTGTCAGACCATGCGCTGGCCGGGCTGGGCGCTGGTACCTGAATCCAGGCCTGCTGCTTCACATCGCCCTTGTGCGCTTTCCCTTCGTAGCCCTTGCCACCGTACTTCTGGTCTTCGCTGATGCACTTCACGTGGTTTTTGTAGTCATCACCCCTGCAGCAATGGCAAGCCTCACCGTTACATGGTACCCGAGGTGGAGGTGTTTCTCCATCTGTCTACCGCACGAGCACTTCAATTCCTAAACTCACTTCCTGGTTCAGAGTGATGGGAATGTCTCAGTCCTGCTTTAACAAAACCACTCCAAAGCCCCAAAGCCTTATACCAAGTCCCTGGGCCTGGTAACCACAGCAACAAGGTGATGGCCAATGCTACTGTCCGATCAAATTTTCACCCACCCTGCCTCCCTCCCCCGGGTCTTTTTCAAGCATCTCTAAAATGCAAATGGTTTCATAAAATGCTTTTTAAAGAATCACACCAAGTTTTTTCTTTGTTCTTAGTTTCTTTACTCAAATTTGCCTCATTTTTCCAAGCTCTGTAGCTCCCCCGGCTTCCCACACTGGCCTGCAGACCTTCGTGACTTATGCAGAACTTACCAGAAGTCTTTACCACAGTCAATGCAAGAAAGGCACTCGCAGTTTCTGCACACAGACACATGCTTTTCCACTTGGATTTTCTTCACTGATTCGCCACATGCATTGCATGTAAAAAACACCATTTTTAGCTAAATGATTAATTATTCTCTAAAAGCAGTTTTAACTTGTACTGGAAAACAAAACAAAAAAAATTATTAGCACAGTAAACTGAAACTTTTATTCCCAACAAATGATTCATACAGCCAACGTCTGAACCATAATTTGACAGGAAAACAGAGGATTCAAGGTTGACCAGCAATCTGTGTAACACTCTACCACTCGTGTAAGTCACTGCCATTAACGACACGGCTGGCACCTCGGGAATGTGTGCATCTTGGGCTAGGCATTATTCCAAAAGCTTTACGAATATTAACGGAGCCTCACAGCAGCCCTCCGAGGGGAGGAGTACTGTTGTTCAAAATTTATATGAGGTGATTGAGGCACAGATCAAGTAACTTAATTTATGACTGAATGGCAGAATGGAGTGCTGTGTGCTAAATCTGACCTTCTCTCCTACCTTCAAGCTCCCCTCCCTGACTTCCCACTGTCTCTTTTATGAAACGCACAGAATGAAACTTACAAAAGGCATGCAATTTAGGTGTGCACTGCAGACTACTTCAGGTCTCCAAATACAAGAAACAGAAAAGGGGACAAGTGAGAGGAGTTTATAAAGTGGCAAAGAAGCCTAACTCCAATTCCTGTTGAAACCAAAAAGATTCCTATGACATTACAAGTTACCCACAGCTGGTTTTTTTGTTTTGTTTTTTTTTTTGGCAGCACTTGGATTTTGAACTAAGGGCCTCATACTTGCTAGGCAGGTGCTCTACCACTTGAGTCACTCTGCCAGCACTTTTTCTGTGTTGAGTATTTTCAAGAAAGAGTCTCATGAACAACTTGTCAGGAGCTGGCTTTGAACTGTGATGTTCCTGAGTAGCTAGGATTACAGGCATGAACCACCAGCTCCTGGCTCCCACAGGAGTTAAATGAAGACAGGGAGGAGATGAGGGATTCCCTTCATGTGGCTCGGCAGATCAGTCAGAAAAAATGAAACCATACCAGGCGTCCCAACTGCCAGGCGCTGAATTACTGGAGGACTCCCAACCCCAGGTGTACCAGGCACCCTGAGCACTGCCTAACATGAATCGTGTGTATGCATATATCATGGCCATTTAAAACCTGACAGGGATCTACTGTGCTCCCCAAAATCCAGATTCTCCTAAGCACTACAAGTCACAGTCACTTTCCATGCGCCTACAATCTTTAATCACTGGATTCCAAGAGCAGTGCTGTGTCATATAATAAACGAGTCTTATAGTAAAAATATTGTGAACTGTTAACACAGCACTTTATTATGAAAATGAAAGTAAGAGTCAAATAAACTCCCATAATTTCCTTCTTGTTCATCCAAGAACCCTTCAGCACAAATGAGCTGCCCTGGCTTCCAGTGAACTGTCACACATCAGTCACCATCTCTCCACCAACAGGCTCCAGGTCATTGCTGGCACCATTCCACCTGAGCAAGGATCAGGGTTGCTCACATCCACTTGGCCTTGAATAGAAATGTACAGCCTGCCTACCTGTCTGGGGTGTATGAAGGCCCAGTTGGTCTCCTGTGGGGCACTAGAAGGCATAAGTTCACCTCATCTGCTAGTTACAAACCATGGGCTCCTGACGCTGGGTGGCTCAGGCCCACTCCCTAAGCTCATTACCAGGGTAGGTTTAATAAAGGAAGAGATATGGTCAGCTACAGCCTGGCACCAATTCCAGAGGAAGCGATGTGACAGGACACGCTGTGGTAACTACAGTCTTCTCATCTGTAACTCCCTTGAAGCTGACCTTCTTGTGCAAGGCAGACAGACTTGGCAAACATCAAACAAGAGCAGCCATTTTGCCTCACCAGGGAGAAGGCAGGCTGGAGCAGAGAGGTTATAAAACAAAAGAAAATCATGGGTCAGTCACCAAAAATGGACCGTCATCATACATGCAAGGTGGAAGCAGCTGTGAGGTGCAAATTACCTGCTGAAAAATTTTAAAGGCCTTTCACAACAAGAGTTACCTTAGGTATGCTTAGAGCTCTCCATCCTCATGGAGGACCAGTTTCTTTATGAAGGGGAAAGGGTGGGGAGAGAGGCTTCAGCAAACCTGGAGATCCAACTGGGAGACTCTCACTCCCAGTCTTGGAGGGTTAATGAGGCCTGAGAAGGATCAGGTCTGAAAGAAGCTACAAGATGCTATGGGTGTTGACAAAATAGATGTTCAGATTATTGTGCAAAACTTGTCCCTCTGGAGGCGAGCTGCACACCATGTACTAACACTAACTCAGGGAGGGTTAAAAGTGGTCACGGCTCATCTAAAAAACACCCATTCAGCCACCTATTTATTTATTTAGTAGGACTGGGGTTTGAACTCAGGACTTCGCTCTTGATATTTTAAGGCAGAATGGGCCGACTCTTCCTGCCTGCTTTGGGAGTGTTGCACTTACCATAAACTAGGAACAGTGGCTCGAAGACTTAAACTGGGGACAGCTATCCCTTGCCTGGCAAATGAGATAAGATCTGTAAGGAGCTTATTCAGAGCCCTGAGGTCACCCACCACCAGCTCAAGTCACCTTGACCGTGCCTCTCACCTGACCTAGTCCTGGGGAAACACCTTTCATTTCAGTAGTAAGTACTTCTTACACAGGCTGCAAAGGGGACAGCAAGCTCCAAACCATCAAGCCAGCTCAAGTGCACAGTGGGCAGGGGACCAAAGCTTAGCACAGGTTTACCAAGCTCAGACTTAGTAACTGCCCACCTGTGAATGCTACAAACTTCAAAAAAGATACACGGCATTGCTAACTGAAGATAGCAATGGCCCCAAACAAAAAAAGTGATACTGTGTCATTCCAATGACACCAGATAAATGAGAAAGAAACTTCAACTAAACTTGTAACTGTAGCTTCAACTTGAATTTATAACCTGTAAGTGATGTTTTAGACACGCTTCACACTTACCATTTTTGCTTCTAATTCGAGAGCTTAGGACACCTATGCACTGGGCTCAGATACCTGTGCACAGGACAACTCTTTGTTGCAAGTGTAAAGGGGATAGCTTTTTAAACACACACACCCAGGCTGGACCTAAATAAGAGGCCCCTTTTCTTTCTCCAGCTCCCTCAATCCCTGGGCCCAGTGATGATGGGTGGGTTCCAATACAGACACAGCAATTATCTGGGTGCTCTTTTAGAGACAGGCATGTCTGGCCTGGCTGGGAACTCTCGTTCTTGCCCAGGTCAGCCATGATCACTCAGTTCAGTGACTGTGTATGCAGTGCTACACATCCGCTACACATCCATCAGAGCTGTGCTGTACAAACACATTCAGGGCCTCTACTCGAGAGGGTCAGGTCCTCTGTATGCACCTCAGCCCATCTGCATTTGTCTGCTCAGTGCACCAGGCACTTGTTATATGCCACCAAGAAAGGACTTGAGCATAAGGTCCTTAGCACTCTATGAAGTCACCTCACACTCAAGGCCACAACTCCTCCAGGACAGCCACACCACCATTGCCCTTGAGAGACAGGCAAGGCTCAGGAGGCTGAGTGATCTGCCCTAGTAACAGTGAATGACTAAGGTGGCCCAAAAGGCAAGGCAAAAGGCCCCAGAGCTCACTTCCCTCTTATCTCAGTCATACTGCTTGCTTGGCCATTATTCTAGAACCTTGAGGTCCTCATTCAAAGACGAAAAAATTAAGGTTCTACAACATGCCCTTCCATTTATGGATATTAGAACTCTTAAGTCTTAATTCTACATCCAGCCCACACTGACCCAGGAGAACACCCATGTTACTGGGGAGGTTGGAGGGCAGCAGCCAGCAAGGCTGAAAATTTGCAAAGGATTCTGGACGTCTTAGTCTTCTTTTAACAAGATGGTTGCCATTCTTTGTTGGACTGAGCTCAGACTCAGGGGCAAAAAGGACCTGAGCTGGGACCTTACCTGCCAGTGCCATTAAAAACTCAATGATCACCGAGTCATCCCATTGAACATCAACTTAAATATTAAAAATGAAAACCAGGACTGTAAAATAGGTACAAATGTGTGTGGGAGGGGTACTAGTGGGAGGGGAGAGGGTGAATGAAGGAGATTAAGGTGACGGCATATGGTAGATGGACTTCATACACCTATATAGAACTAAGAAACCTCTTGCAATTGCTTTTAGTGGGGTGGAAAAAGGGGGGGGGTGAGATGATGGGGGCGATGTAAATAATGTACAATACATTGTACATTATTAGTGACAATTCCAATGTAATTGTCACTATGAATCCCCCCTGTAGAATGAATATACCCTAATAAAAAACTTATATAAGAAAAAAACCTTCAATGACCTCAAGGTATCTTAACTTCTCAGAATCTGTTATCTGTGAAATGGGCTTAATATCTACCTCAAAGCATTGTGTGGAAAGTTAAGTAAAATACCAGATGTGGAAGCTTCATCCTTCCCCAACTGCAGAAAGATTCCCTGTGACCTATCAATGTGTTCATCGATACTACTGTATCAGGCCCCCTCCCCAACCCATGCTCTTTTAAATATAAGCTCAATCCATCTATCATAAATTCACCCCAGAAGTGCCTGTGCTACCACCTTGTTCCCTGAGTACATGCCCTTGAATTTTGTTCTGGGATTGGGATTTGGATCAAAAAAAAAAAAAAAAAAATCTTGCTCCCGCTATTTTATTACAGAAATATTGTCCATTTTTTTTTCTTTTTAAATTTTCTTTTATTTTTGACCTCAGGGCCTTGCTCTTGCTAAGCATGTGTGCTACCATCTCAGCCACACCCCCATCCCTTTTTGCTTTAGGTTAGTTTTCATACAGTCTTGCTTTTTGCCTGGGGCTGGTCTCAATCCTTTTACCTCTATAGCTCCCGCGTAGCTGGGATGACAGGTGTGAAGCACCACTTGGTTTGTTTGTTGAGATAGGGGTGTCTCACTAACTGTTTGCCTGGGCTGGCTCCAAACTGTCATCTTTTAGATCACTGGGATTACAAACGCGAGCCACCATACCAGGCCCCTATTTCTGAAACATTCCTATGCACACACACTGACCTCCACCACCACCATACCCCAAACGGCCCACCTGAAGAGCCAGACTGACAACCCCAACACAAGCCCCAGACAGCATGCAACCTGAAGCAAGCTACTGTCCCCTTTAAACTTCAAGTTCCCCCCATCTGTGAAACAAGGGGCTAGATCCATTAGACTAGATCCAAGTCCTTTCCAGAAGTAGAAGTCCAAGAAACCACAGGTATGGTGCACCTATCTCCATTTAAGGATGGGACAACTGAGGCTGAGTTAAGCAATGGCTCTGCCTCCCAGTCCAGTCTCCCAGCCCCATTCACGGCACCATGCTAGACACAATGTGAACAAGGCCCCAGGAAAGTCAGCCTTCAAAACACACCTCAAACCTGGCACACGTACCTCACGCCTATAATCCTAGCTATTTGGAAGGCTAGGATCAGGAGGATTGTGGTTCGAGGACAGCTAGGTTAAATAGCTCTTGGAGACCTAATCTCCAAAATAACCACAGCAAAATGGACTGAAGGTGTGGCTCTGGAGACTGAACACCCGCTTTGCAATCGTGAAGCCCTGAGTACAAATCCCAGTCTCACCAAAAACCCAAACCACACCTCATCTCCCTTTCCTCCCTTTCCCTTCAGAGGCAGGGGCTGCAGAATTTCTGAGATTTTTTGGGCACCTTACTATGTGCCGAGCCCGTTGTGGTTAACTCGTTCCTACTCCTGTAATCCTCACCAGACCTCCAAGTTAAGTTCTGTATTATTATTTCTTTTTGATGGATGAGGAGACAGGTACAAAGAGACTAAGTAGCTTGCACCAGGTCACACGCAGTTAGAGACAACCCGGATTCCCTCTCAGTTACTCTCGCCTGGCGTCCTACGTGCTCAACAACAAACCCTAAGGCCCCTCCTTAGGGACCGAGCTCCCGAGACTGAAAGAGCCTAGTGCCTAACATGCAGCAATCCTCAAGCCCAGTGAGACACGGGCCAACCGCTCCTGTTTGGCCAGGCCCGGAGGCCTTTCTGTTTGAAAACTGGGAAGACATGGTCACCCTAAGTCCAGGATTCCTCACTTCCCCAGCGCGCGAGTCAGACTGAATGGACCTTCCCCCGCCCGCCCGTCTGGAAGCGAGGGACCGACCGTGCAAACAACAAGCATCGGCCTCCCTGCCTCCTCCGGGCCTCTGGGCTGCAGTCCCTCACCTCTCAGCCAGAGCCGCCAACCGTTTCAACCCCGCGCGTATAGCACGTGGAGCAGACTACGCCGCCCTCCGCAGCTCTGCGGTGCAGAACTTAATTCAGAGCCGCCTCGTGCGCCTGCGCCTGGAGGCCACGCCCACCATCGGAAGTGACGACACCGGAAGCCTCTGCGGACCCGGCAAGCCGAGGGGGCGTTGTCTGAATGGTTCTGCTGCAGGTGGAGTCCGGCTGTCGCCGCCACTGAGGACCTGGGCGGCCGGTGACACCGAGGGCTGGGAGTGACCTCCGGAGGTAAGGTGGCTACGGCCGGCCCTGCGGATGTGCCGGGTTGGCGCGGGGGTTACGGTTCGAGGGAGGCCGAGAGCCCTTGGCGTCCCGCAACGCATAGACCCGCGGCCACCTTCGCATCCCCGGCGTGCGAGGCCAACGCGGAGCTGGTGGCTTCTGCGCGAGCCTGTGAGCTTCTCGTTTGGCCAGGCATCCGGGGACGTCGAGGCACAAAGGCCTGGGAGTCGGGCCTCCCTGGCCTCCTGCTTGTCTCCGGGCCCTGGGCAGCTGGCTTCGCTGCCTGGTCCCTGCATCCCCCTGTGGTAACAGAGCTCGGCCTTAGAGAGCCTCAGGACCTTTCTGTGCCTCAGTTTCCCATCCGTAAAGCGAGTTTTTTTTAGCAGTACCTACTTCGTCGGGACCTTGTAGGACTTCATGAGTTGGTGCAGGTAAAGTGCTCACCCAGTACTTAACAAATTTTAGCCGTTCTCGGCCCTTGAGACAGAGCCCAGCATGCAGGGTGGTCACTAAATGAAAGTTGAAATGGGTGTGAGCATTATATTGGGAGAAATGTTAACCGCAGGGCAGGTGTACCTGGAGGATAGGAAGGCTTCTGGCTTGAGCATTTTGGCCTGGAATAGTAGGTGTATTCTGCTGGGACTGCCATAACAGTGTACAACACAACACACCAGGTGACATAAACAGCAGAAATTAATTTTCTCATCGTTCTGTAAGCTGGAAGCCCAAGATCAAGGTGTTGTCTGGTTTGCTTGCTTCTGAGGACTATCTCTGGCCACCTACTTGCTATGTCCTTCTGTGGTCTTCCTCTACACTCACATCTCTGGTGTCTCCCTTTGTATGCAGATCTCTTCTTGAAAGGACATCAGTTAGATTGGAATAGAGCCCACTCTCAGAGCCTCTTTTTAACCTAATCACCTTTTTAAAGGTCTGATCTGTACATGTAGTAAAATTCTGAGGTGCTGGAGAACGCAGTTGAGCATACAACACCTGCAGGGACAAAAAGGGAACTATCTGCCATCACAGGCAACAGAATGGCCAAGAGGTTTACAAAAAAAAAAAAAAAAAGGTAGGATGCTCCAAATGTTTTTTGTGTGCAAGGCGCCTTCTTGTTTGTACTTGTCTACATTTTCTTTCTTCTTTCTCTTTTTTGGTGGTACTAGGTGGTACTAGGGGTTAAACTCAGGGTCTCAGGCATGCTAGTAGGCAGATACTCTATCACTTGAGCCATTCTGCCAGCCCTGTTTTGTGTTGAGTTTTTTTGAGAGAGGGTCTTGTGAATTACTTGCCTCAGACTGACTTTGAACTTTGGTCTTCCTGATCTCTGCCTCCTGAGTAGCTAGAATTATAGGTGTGAACCACCAGCTGCCCTGCCACCTACAGCAGACCTTAAGAAGGTGAGCCTCCTCATTCTCGGTCTGGCAAACTTTACACTTAGGTTTTAGCATTGATGTTTCTTTCTTCAAAAAATTTTCCCCTGACCCTCCCCCCTAGATTAATTTCTGCCTCCATTTAATATACTTGTTTTTCTTACTATACTGATGCTCCATGAAGGCCTAGATTACATATCTGAGTTGTTTACCAATATACTCACTGTGCCTCGCAAATAGTGGATACTCTGAAATTAAGTGAATATTGAAAAACGGAGACACAGAGCTCGTGGAGGCCAGGGAGCAGACCTTGTTTAATTTGTCGGCAGTCTACCTTCACAGTATCTTGTACATGTTAGCCATAGAATATCCATTTTTTAATTCAATAATCCTTTGTAGTATGACCAAGGAAGCATGAAGCTAGAACCAAAGTTGAGGCTTGTTTGCTTGAAGCCAGTATTTTTGCCACCTGAGTGGGATAAGGGGCTAGGAGTAAGCCATTTGAAAACCATGATGGGCAAAGACCCCTTAAGGTAAGCTCAGAATTGAGGCACATGAACTGCAGACCTTTAGAGAAGTAATCTATTAATGGCCCTGCTGAAAAGTTCCCATGAATTCTGCCATTGGTGTTGGACCAGTTGTTGAATCACCCCACAAAACAGAAGGACCTCTGTGGTAGGACTTCCTGCAGGATGAAATTCCATGTGTCTCTTCTCTTTATAAGCATCTCTTCATTCATGACCATCCACGCTCTGCCTCGTGTGTTTCTTTTCCCATATTTCCATTGTTTGATGTCATTCTCACAAATCAGTCTGTCTAACGTTACTTTCTTGGTATAGATTTGTAGCTTTTAGGGCAAGAAGAAAACTTAAGTCATTTAGTCCAGTGGTAGACTCCTCCATTTTTACAGATGAAGAAACAGAGGCTCAGAATCTCCATCTGTTCCTATACTTAGCACCTACTAGGTCCAAGACACTGCTGGCTACAAGAGATACACTGATCAATGAGACGTACGCGGTCTGTGTGTCTTCAGTGCAAAAGGCTCCTTGTCACTTAGTGCTATAGTTAGGATTTTTTTGGGGGGGAGGTAGAACTTTGGTTTGAACTCAATGCTTTGTGCTTGCAAAACTCTACCACTTGAGCCACACCTCCAGCCCATTTTGCTGTGTTTATTTTGCAGATGTGCTTTCATAATTTTTCTGGTCTGGCCTCAAACTACAATCCTCCCAATCTGAGCCTTCCGTGTAGCTAGGATTGTAGGTGTTAGCTACCTACACCTGTTTATGGTTAGGATCTTAAATGTCCCCAAAGGCCCATGTGTTTTAGGCTTGTTTCCTGGAGTGGCACTAATGGGAAGCAATGAAAATTTTAAGAGGTGGGGCCTAATGGAAGGTCTTCAGGTCATTGAAGGCATGTCCTTGAAGAAGCTCGTGGGATCCTGCCTCTTCCTGTTGCTCTTCTTTACATCCTGGCTTTGAGGTGAGCAGTTGTGCTTTCGTCATGAGCTCCTGCCACAATGTGCCTCCTCAGACCCAAAGCAATGGGCCAGCTGATCATAAACTGAAACCTCTGAAACTGTGAGCCAAAATAAACCTTTCTCTTTATAAGTTGTTTTCTCAGTTTTTTTTTTTTAAATACAGTAACAGAAAGCTGATTAACACAGTGAATTAGCTGCAAAGGTGAAAGAGAACCCTGTGTCCCATCTGACACACCCCAACGCCTTGTGGGCAGAGTGTTATTGCAGTGCTTACAGGGTTACCTGAGCCATCAGGCATAGACTGTAGACTGAAGAGGCAACTGCTTGATCAAAGGGAAGCCTCTAGTGTCTTCAAAACACTTTGTCTTACAATTTTGTGGGTCAGGAATTCTTGGGTTCTCCAGGATGTCAACTGGGACCACTCTGTAGTAGTCAGTTGCAGGAGGGGCAGCCCTGGAGAACTAATAAGCTTCCCTGGGAATGGGTGGGCCCAGCGGAGCCCTTCTCCCCCTCTGCATGGCCTGTCCACTTAGTCGTTATACAAATGACCATGGTCTCCCAAAGCCCAGACGGGAGGTGGAAGTGTCAGCTCTTAAGGCCTGGCAGTGACCACAACTTTACACCTTACTTTTACCTGCTCTGCTGATGAGGGCCAGGGAGACCTAAACCCCACTGCCCCACAGGATGCCTGCGTGAGCTCGTCCTAAAACCTAAATGGAAGCGACAGGAGATTGAGAAAGGACAAAAGAGAAACATGCAAAAAGCTGGGATCAGATGGGCTGGGTGCCTTGGTGGAGACACACAACAGCCTCAACCACCTCCAGCGAGTTTATTATATACAGTGGCAAACAAGGAAGTAGAGCATTGTAGTTATCAGGAACAGGGGAACCTGCAATCACTACTTTCTGCATGTACCGGTACTGTTGCTGTTTGAAGGGTGTGGCATAAACATCCTTGTTCTTATGCGAAGCAGCTGTGCTGCATTTTGCTCTCCTACCTTCTGCAGCTGGGGGCCGTGCCGATCCCAGCCTGCAGGTTATTTGACATGGCTGTGCACATGTCAGGTTCTCCTAGGCTTCTCATAGTCCACTCTCCACAGAGGGGTGTCAGAAAGTCTGTGGCCAACTTTAATCCACCAAGTCCCTCATAGTCTTCATCTGTAAAGTTCAGGTAGTAGTAGTACAAATGTCACAGTTACTTTGGGGATTAAATGAGTTAGTAAGCATGAATGGCTTAGAATAGTGCCTGGCACATAGAAACCATTCTGTAAATATTTGTCATCAGGACTATGGTTAGATACAGGGTATATTATTTTTATAGTTGTTTATAGGACATGTAAGATGTATAAGAAATTCTTTTTCCACAGCTTTTTATAACCTTATTGGGGAGATTCAGTATTGATATCATGAAGTAATTTAGAGAACTATACAAAATAATATACAGTAGCAAGAATTTATAGTCAAGGTCAGTTGCAGAATGGTTGTATATCATCATAGCATTGGGCCGTTTCCAAGGAACTATTTGTTTTGGTGGATTAGAACTCAGGAGCTCTGGCTCTACCACTCATACATACTCCTGTTTGTTTTTTGAGACAGGGACTCTGTGTAGCTCAGGCTGGACTGGAACTCACGGTCCTCCTCTCTGAGCCTCCCGAGTAATGGAATTACAGGTGTGGGCCACTGCACCTATCCAGGATGTTTTTTCTATATCATTTCTACAGAGTTGGAAGATGTCTAGTGTAGATTCAGAATATTTGCTGTATTCCGACATTTAAGTTTTCAGGGGAAGGTTTTGGGTTTGCTTTTCATGTTCTTTGTCCCATCGGAGGCAGTACAGCAGCCTAAGAGAGCATCCTCTATGGCTCAGGAACCAGGATTCAAGTCCTAGCTTTGGCACTGACAGTTTTGGATCCTGGACAAATTACTTAAACTTCCCATTTTTCAATATTGTCACTTGCAAGTGGTGAGACTTGGGTTCTTCTAGAACTGCTTGAGTTCATGGATAAAGCATGCTTAGTGCAAGCTGTTAGTAGCCCATGAATGACAGCTAGTAATAATGCTAATAATAACAAGCCAACAAGTCTTCCCAGGCAGCCCATGGGGCTGGGCTAGAAAGCTCGTTACTCATTTGGCCATTACTGACTGGAAGACAGACCTGGGGGCTCTGCCCACCACCCATGCAGCACTCCCTTTCTGTGTCCTCGTTTCGGGCAGTATCACACATGCCACGCTTCAGTGTGCTCTTACAGATGACTCTAGCCCCCCGATCTCATCCACAGATCTATGCCAGCTCCGCAGGCTCTGCACAACAGGAACAAAACTCCCACTTAGAAACAGGGAGGCTCAGAATGAGGAATAGGCTTGCAGGTAAGATGGTGGTGCAAGTTAGAGGTTATAAGTTGATATATTTGGAGCTGGTGGCAGAAGCAAAATTTCCAGATTTAGCTGTTGTCTCCTTAGACTAGGTGACAGCAGAGAATCAGTGTGACAGTCAGGAAAAGGGGGGAGGGAAGTGGCTGCATCCAAAGGCACAGTAGCATTTGCAGGGCTTGAGAGGAAAGAAGCACACGGCCCAGAGGTGGGACAGACGGACAGGGAAGAGCACCAGGACAGTCCCGTGGAAGGACTACTCCATGCTGTAGGAGCATCGGCTGGGAGGAGGGCAAGGCCTGGTGGGGTTGGTGGAAAGGTCTGTGTCGGCACAGAGGATGACAGTGTGACAGGAGGAGGGGAAGGAGTGGTGTGGGATGGTGTATAGATGGCCGTTTAGAAAAGTGTGAAAGAGAAGACTGGTGGCCAGGTGACCTCAGGGAGGGCCTTGCTCTGGTGTCCTTTTTGGTCTGGTTTCAACATGGGCCATCCCAGTATGTGTGTGGGAAGCAGTAAGCCAGCAGTAAAGACATGGGAAGGCATGACAAAGCCCAGGTGGGCAGCAGGAAGGGTCAGGGGAGAAGGGCAGCTTGCTTCGCAAAGGAGGGGCATGCTACACCTGTGACGCCAAGGGAGTGAGGGAGAGCTGAGTAGAAAACTGGAACTAAGACACTCAAGGCGCTCCAGTTCTATCAGGTTACCCCTGCTGAGGCAGTTTTATGGGTGTGTGTTTTAAGCTGACTGAAGGAGCGCTGTGACAGGGAAACACAGAGCACTCAGTGGGTTTGGTGCTTTTGTTCCCGCAGTGTCTGTGAGTCTCTTAACTGTGTTCTCTGCCATAGGTCTCATGGTCAAGCATGGACCCTGTTGCTACCCACAGCTGCCACCTCCTCCAGCAGCTGCATGAGCAGCGAATCCAAGGCCTGCTTTGTGACTGCATGCTGGTGGTGAGGGGAGTCTGCTTCAAAGCGCACAAGAATGTGCTGGCCGCCTTCAGCCAGTACTTCAGGTGCGGGTCTACACTGTCTTCCACCTGCAGGGGGAGCTCTTCTCACATACGAGAGTTTTGGCCACATTCATTTTCTTCATGGACATTGCTGTCCTTATCTTTGGAATTTAAACAAACCTGGGGTTTCTTATTTAATTTTTAGTTTAATATTGTTACTGCTTTTGTGTATATAGTAACATGAAAAGAAAAGACAACTAAAATGTGTTTGGAATGAATGAAAACTTCGGAATTTTGCCTTTTAATACTGTGGTTAATTAATTTCAGTCTTCTATTTATATTTTGCTTCCTTTCAGGATAAAATGGTTGATAAATTGAATTCCTGGTAGGCGTTTTTCTCCAGTTAAGAAATTAGAGTGGGAAGACATCCTGTGTGCTCTTTTCCTTTTCTTTTTTTAAATGAATTTTGTTTTTTGTCCCTCATTTGGATTTTCTAAGAAAACAGTTGTGTTTCAATGTACTTAATATTATTATAGTTAAGTATTCTTCATAAATGAATTTTCTGGGAGCAGTTTATTTCTCTTCAAACACCAGAGTCCATCTCTCTTGCTTTTTTCTTTTGTATTCACAATGTACACATTGTGCTGCTCTACTAAAAATACATGGAACATGCTTTGCTCTTTCTCTGATAATCTTGAATCGCGAACTTAACTAAGCCTTGGTTCTTGCACACACTATACTACTATTATAAACGAACTGGCTTATTGGGGTGGAGGCAGTTTTGTTCCTGTGCAGGATGACCCCGACCCTTGGGCTTTGCTGTTGCCCATTTTCTTCTGTCTTTGCAGGACAGTGAGGTCTCACTGTGACATACTGGCTGCTTGAGCTGACATAAAGACAGAACCTGAAGGCCACCTGGGGTGAACAAGTGACCGCATTTGACAAAATGCCTTCCAGAAGCTTGCGAGACAGTTTATCTAACTCAGCTTATGACACTGTGCATTACTGCTTTGTTCACCTATGAACTTGGCATGTACCCAGAACAAAGAGCCCAGCCTTCTTCATTAATTCATGGTGCATTTTTCACTGTTGGTTTATGGACCATTAGGTTGCTGAAAAACTTAAAAGCCAAATAAATTACTGGTTATAAAGTAAATGTGTACTGAGGGTTAGTTTATTACAGCTGTTCTTATTTTTAAAGTTTTTAAGGCAGGTTGACATGGGAATATTGGTGTTTTTTGGCCTGAAATATGTCCTTTGTCAGACTAGGCATAAAATATCAAAAAAAGTGTATTTAATTTTCTGTACTCTAGTAGTATGTAATTAACACATGGATAATTACATTTTGGAACAACATTTAGAGCAATCTTAAATATGTTCAGAATAATTTTCAGAACTTCTTGATTTGTGATTTTTCAGCCATATTCCTATTGCGATCTTTTTAATTTGTAAATTTAGGAAATATATTTGAAAAATTTGAGATCTACTTTTGAAGGTTGAATACTATGTTAGTTAACTTTGCATGATTGTGACGAAATACCTGAAAAAAAATTAAAAAGAGACTAGGTTTATTTTGAGCTCCTGGTTTCAGAGGTTGCAGTCTGTGGTTGGCTGGCTCCATAGCTTTGGCCTGAGGTGAGGCAGAATACCACCGGTGGGAATGTGTGGTGGAGAGCACTGCTCACCTCATGGCAACCAGGAAGCAGAGAGAGAGAGAAAGGGGCTAAGATAAAAAGCAGTCTTCAAAGTCATACCCCCAGTGACCTACCTCCTCCAGCTAGGCCCCACTTTTGAATGACCCATGAAGCTGTGAACTCACCAGCCGATGAAGTTAGAGTCCTTATTAGAGTCACCTCTCAGTGACTCCCCTTCTGACACTGCTGCCCTGGGCACCAGGCCTCCACCACGTGAGTCTCTGGAGGACATTCCAGATCCAAACCATAACAAATACCCAACACACTAATTCTCTTGAATTGCTTAGTTGGTTGGTTTGTCAAACTGGTCTTAAGGATTAAAACACGCTTAAGATAAAAGTCTGTTCACAGGAGAAGTGGTTTGAATATGTGTTCATGTCCGTGTGAATGCCACCTATAAGAGAAGGTCAGCAGAGCGGATGAGCTGTCAGCACTGTAATGAATGCCCTTTCTTTTGTCAGGGGCCTCTTTCAGAACTCCTCGAGCCAGAAGAGTGATGTCTTCCACTTGGACGTTAAGAGCGTCAGCGGCATTGGGCAGATCCTGGACTTCATGTACACCTCTCGCCTGGATCTCAACCAGGACAATGTGCAGGCGATGCTGGATACGGCCCGGTGTCTGCAGGTGCAGATCGTTCTGAGCCTGTGCCACACATTTCTCAAGTCCACCTCTGCACAACAGCCTTCTGGCTTGCCCTGTGCTAGTGCCTTCTCCCTGCAGGGTGCGCTGACCCCCGAAAGCACCTGTGTGATGAGCGAACACTATCCCCCTCCCTTACTGCAGGAGTGTTCAGCTGAGGCCCAGCATGGGAAGGTTCTGGATGGATCGCATTCTCAGGCTCCATCTGTCAGTCTTCATCACTCCACAGGGGAAATGGCAAAGGCAGCCCCAGGTGCTTTAGATGGCAGCTGCACAGAGCTGCCTTGCAAACAGCCCAATTACTATTACAAACTCCGAGACTTTTACAGCAAGCAGTACTACAAACAAGCTGCTTGTCCCAGCCACGAGCGAGTCGCCGAGCAGCCCTTCACTTTCAGTGCCTCTGCAGACCTCGCTGCCGTGGAAACGCAACCTTGTGCTGTCAGTCATCCCGAATGTCTCCTGGAGTCTTCGGAACACTTGCCTTCCACCTTCTTGGCCCCACCACTGAGTGACTCTGCCCCAGACCCTGAGTCGGACGCCCCCTGTCAGCCACCTACCAAACAGATGAGGCTCAAAAAGGCTGTTCACCTGAAGAAATTAAATTTCCTCAAGTCACAGAAATCAGCCGAGCCAGCATCTGAGCCTAAGGTAGATGATGGATTAGCAAAGAGGACGGAACCCACCAGTGAACAGACAGGAGAGAAAGCCAGCAGCCAAAGCACCGAAGAAAAAGAAAGCCAGGAACTCGGTTCTGAGAATTTTAGTTGTGCTGTTAGTGGAACGGAGGTGCCTGAGGCCTCAGCTGCACCGGAGGACCAGTCCCAGTCCCTTCAGTGCCAGAGACAGTATGCGTGTGAATTGTGTGGGAAACCTTTCAAACATCCAAGCAATTTGGAGCTTCACAAACGGTCTCATACAGGTACACAACACGAGCACGCAGGCCGGGCAGGCCGGGAAGGACCCGCTGCTGTCCTTGTTTCTCTAAGAAGCTTCACTCTTTCTTGATGAGGTCGTGGATGTTTTCAACAATCGTGAGGGGTGCTGGCCATTTTTTACTTAGTATTTCAGCAATGCATCTGCAAGTCCTGTAAATGGTTTTATTAGAGCTGCTTTAAAAAGATGGCATACTTAAAAATTTTTTTTCTGCTGTACTAGGGTTTGCACTCAGGACTTCTTGGTTGCTAGGCAAGTGCTCTTCCACTTGAGCCACAGCCTCAGCTCCCATGCTTTTAATTTTGGAGTTACAGTTTTATGACAAACTGTCCATCTCTAAAGAAGTATAGTTGGTTACTTTGATGCATTCAAAATTTCTAATTCTAAGAATTCTTTAGAATTAGACTAAGCTTATTTTTCAAAGAATAATGTACATTAATTGTAAACTAAAGCAATTTCATTTGACCATTCTAAAAGTTCTCAGAAGTAATTTGAATACCTGATTTGAAAAATTATGATTTGGGAGGCAGGAAGTAAATTTTTTAATAAGAGTCAGCTTTAGCCATTTGATACTTCCAAATGAAAAATTCTTTCATTTTAGACGTTGAAGTTTCAAGGGTCTATTGTCTTAACTCATACCTTCTCCCCAACAGCATTTTTAAGGTGTGCAATACATGCCACATCATATAATCCTGTGTGTTACTTTCCTTCCTGTAATTAAATATGATGACGTTAATGAAACATTACAGCCAGAAAGCTGGGGCAGGGAGACGGTGAGTTTGAGGCCAGCATGGGATGCATAGTAGTCAGAGGCCAGTCTTGGGCTACATATTGAGACCCTTTGTCAAAAACCAGTGACTAAATAACGTCACAAACAAATGCAGTTGTACGTAGTTGTGAGAAGTGGCGTAGCACAGGACGCCTTCAGAACAACCGTCTGCAGCTCTGGGTAACGTGCTCCTTGGATCAGCGGTTTGCGGAGGTGATCGCCACCTCATTGTGCTGCTGGAGACTTCATGAACGTTAGCGCACTTGAACAGAAAGTGCTTTGTTATCACCAGTAGTATGAAACTACTCCATACCGAAGCACACAGTTTCAGTTTTGCCATGAAAAATTTAATGTAGGTCAATTCTGTTCACTTAAATTCCTACAGCCTAATGAATAGTGTAAGTTTTTAGAACCTTACCTGTTTAGCTTTAAAGAAACAAAATTAAGTTACTGATTCTGAGAGAATGTCTCTGAGTGCCAAATACAGGCAAATGGCAGAGACACTGGGATATAAATGTTCTATCGAGAATAGCAGCAGACTGTGGTCTAGGGAACCCTTTCACAGATCCGTGTGGCCCAGACTATTTCAAAGTAGTGCAAGACATGACTTGTCTTTTTCTTTTCATGTGTGTGTGGTGGAGGCTGCCAGTGGCTACATGGTGGGTGGCTCGGTGGCCTGTGAAATGTGTATTCATGTGTCCTAAATGTTACTGTTTCCATTTCCAATATGGTACATACTGATAGATTCAGCTCACAGACAACAAAGCTTTTAAAAGCCTGAATTTGAACAGTGTGAAGGGGGCCTGGACCAAAAAGCCTGAGATCAAACTGGAATAGGGTTATTATTAACCTGGTCACTGTGAGTCTTAGAGAGTGGTGACCCCTCTTTTTTCACACTCTTAATATGTCTCATGGGACTTTAACTTATCTATTAGCCCAATAAGTTCAGACATAAAGTGGTCTCAAAATACAGACTTACTATGATTATAACTTTCAGGGCTAAGGAAGCCATCAGACATTTTCAGTAAAAAATAAAAATAAGACTCTCCTAGCAGGATCCTCCAAATCTGGAAAGCTGGTTTCTTTAAGGTAGTAAGACCTGGCAATGTAGTAGGGAACGAGAGCAGTATTATTTTTAAAGAGGGTCTCAGTGAAACCATTGGATTTGAGGAGCCTGGGTCAGAATGAAGGTCCTGAGGCTCAGTCTTTTGTCAGGATTATGCAGCGCCTTGAGCTGTACTTTCTGTGAGGTCTTTGCACACTATGTCCAGAACTACTGTGGCTAGTCACAGCAATTCGTTTTATTGCAAAGTGTGATACTTTAGTTACTGAAATCAGAGGTGACTAAGAAGACAGCAGAGGAGCACCTCCCCGATGAGGAAGTCTCCCTTCGGTGAGCATGTCCTATCTCAGGAGAGGGCTTTCCCCTGTCCCACGTGTCTCAGGAGTCCACTCTGTTGGGGTCCCCTGCTCACACCTTGTGCTGTATGAATGGGTCACCCTCTCTGCATTAGGAGTCAGTGGTCAAGTGGAATTAAGCTGAAGAAGAGGTGAACAAGTTCACGCTGTTCAGCAAGCAAATGCCCATTTGATTTTCAGCTGAACGAAAACCTGGGTATTCTTTGGACATAAATAAATACATTTGATTTCACCATGGGTTTATATTTAGAGAACAGTTTGACTTTTATCATCTCTAGCATCTTGGGGTAAAAAGTAGAACAAGGAAGTAGAGACTCCAGTTGTCCTACTGATGGGATAAAGAATGTAATGTTCTTTTTTGAAAGAGAGGACACAAGAGGTCAAACATCTTAAACAAAAACTACTATTGTGTACATACTAGTACTGATTTTACAAATTGTTCTGTTTTGTTTTGCTTTGTTTTAGGTGAGAAACCTTTTGAGTGTAACATTTGTGGGAAACATTTCTCTCAGGTGGGAATACTCTTATTTACTGTTATAATTGGAAACTTGAACCCCAGTGTTTATTTTTATTGCAAATAAGACACACTTTTGTACTTGTGAGAGAAACTTCTTTTTTTTTATTATTTTATTATTCATATGTGCGTACAAGGCTTGGTTCATTTCTCCCCCCTGCCCCCACCCCCCCTTACCACCCACTCCGCCCCCTCCCTCTCCCCCGCCAATACCCAGCAGAAACTATTTTTCCCTTATCTCTAATTTTGTTGTAGAGAGAGTATAAGCAATAATAGGAAGGACCAAGGGTTTTTGCTGGTTGAGATAAGGATAGCTATACAGGGAGTTGACTCACATTAATTTCCTGTGTGTGTGTGTTACCTTCTAGGTTAATTCTTTTTGATCTAACCTTTTCTCTAGTTCCTGGTCCCCTTCTCCTATTGGCCTCAGTTGCTTTTAAGGTATCTGCTTTAGTTGCGAGAGAAACTTCTGATGATGCCTGTAACCTAAACACTTCAGACTGAATCAGGAAATGTTTTTCAAGAGCACAAATGTCGAGCTCATTGCTAACACTTGTTGTACGTGTGAGTTCTCACAATACCTTTTCCCATTCAGGATGGGTCCAGCCCTGGTATATGTGCTGGCTTTAGTGCCTGAAGTTCTGGGTAGCCCACACTGAGTGTGGCTTTTTCCCCAAGGCTCCAGGTTATGCTGGGATAGGACAAGATAGTCTTCTTATTCTTACTAGAACTGAGATTTTAGGAAGATGGGGATAAATAGGCAAAACCATTTTTATTCCCTGCTTTTACTGCTGGCTTTCACCCAACCTCTCATCATTTGGACATGGATTATCTCACTTAGCAAACATTCACTGTATCTTCTTTCTGTCTGAAATATAAAGAACCCTGAATTCCAGAGGTGAATCCAGGGTGGGAAAGAAGGGTCCTTCAGGGTACAGAGCTGGCACTGTGGACCTACACACTGTGATAGATGTTGTGGTCCTGCATTCAAGTGCTCAGCCAGGAAAATGATTTTGAGTTGGTCCCCGTAGGGGAATGGGAGACCTTGGCAGAGTAGGGTTTGGGAAGGCATGGAAAAGGGAAGGCAGTCTTGTCACATAGCCCTCCCCCAATTCTCTCAGCATCCTCTGCACCATTGAGGTGTCAGTTTTGTCTTCCCTTGTACCCAGACCTACCAGATCTTCCCTCTTGCTGACCCTGTGTGTTGTGATCTTCCCTCACATGGTCAGCCCTATTCTTCCTGGGTGATTAATCTAAAGCCATGTCTCATTATATCAGGACCATCAGGATGCCTTGTGCTCTGGAGGTGTTCAGTGCATATTTGATGAGCTACTGCAGTGGCCTTCTACCACCATTCCAGTGGGGACCCTACTGCCTCCTGCCAGCCCAGTCTGGGGTCCAGATTTGAACCCTGAGTGCCAGAGCTTACCGTGCTATGACCTTGGGGGAGTCAGTTTCCTTATCTGTAAGGCAAAGATAAGACTGCTTACCCTAGTGGAATGTGCCAGAACAAGGACTGCAGAATGCTGAGTTCTTAGTTCAGGCCCAGCACACAGCACGTGCTGGGGATGCTACTCCTCCCCATCCTCTGGCCCTCATGTCCTCCTGCCTTTTCAGTCCTCCTGCTCCACATCCTGGTCTTCCTGCGGCTGTCCCATCCCTGCACCCCCACCGTTTTCATCCTGGCTGCTTTGGTGTGGCAGGAAAGCCTAAGACTGGATTCATGGCCATTGATGAGCAGTCACTTCTCTGGACCTCAGTCTGTCCTTTTTAAAATGGAGATACTGTTGTTTTGTGGAGCTATTAGGAAGACTAAATAAACATGAATGCCCTCTCCACCTTTCAGTTGTGATGATACCGTGAGTTCCGTCTTCCTGCTCAGAACCTTTCTGTGGCTCCCATTGGTAACCAGGGTCAAAACAGATGTTCGGGCATCCTCACAGCTACCCCTCTTCTCTCCAGATGCTGACACCTGTGCCTGCCCTCAGAGATGCTGAGTCCCTGGTTAGGGTGGGACTCAAGTGTTAACAGTTTTATTTTCATTTTATTTACTTATTTTTGGGGAAGGACTGGGGTTTGAACTCAGGGCTTCACACTTACAAAGCAGGAGCTCTGCTGCTTGAGCTACTCCTTCATTCCATTTTTCTCTGGCTGTTTTGGACATGGAGTCTTGTGAACTATTTGCCCTGACTGGCCTTGAACCATGATCCTCCTGATCTCAGCCTCCTAGGTGTCTAGGATTTCAGGTGTGAGCCATGAGTGTCTGGCAGGTGTCACTGTTGTAAACACTGGTTTTGCTGTGCGTCCAAGCTTGAGAACCCCGCTTTACACCTTGACCTGCACACTTAACCTCTTAAATCCTGCCAGGTGCACCCTTGTCTGCTGCTGATTGTTATCTGTACTTCTTTTGGGTATTTTTGAATGTAGTTATCTGTAGCTGTGGTTTTCAGATTTATAATGTCATTTTATTTCCATAGTGAAGTGATAAAATTTTTGTGAACAGGACTATTTTAAAAACTTCATTCAGCAAGTGTTCATTGCAAGCCACAGTGTCCTGAGCTGTCCATGAGCTCTGCTATGTGCCAGGAGGGGACAACATGAGCAAGGCCTGGAGGAGCCATCATTCAGAGGAAGAAATAGTTGTGTAAGCAATCAAGGTCAATGACACTCTAGGAATGGCACAGTCAAAAAGAAGAGAGTGAAGAGAACAAGGCTCAGAGAAGTGGTGCTTGCTCATTATCAGTGGCCTCGAACCCACACAAGGCAGCCAGGATGGAAACTGTCGTTTGGGGCAGGGCAAGGACAGGCAATGCATTGGAGCCCCTCAGTGAGCCTTGGGGACAGCTAGAGCTGTCCCAGCTTCACCTCTGCCAGATGCTCATTTTGAAATGAGTTGGAATGAACATTTTCGGTCATGGAATTGGGATGATCCATGCAACCCCCACAATGCTGTTCATAGTACACTGAGTTCCTTTTGAATGAGGGTTTGAAAGTCAGAAAACAAATACCAGTCGGTTCCTCATCTCTTTACTGACAGCTTAGTATCTGGTGGTTAGTCTCCTTTTAGTTAACTACCACTTTAATAATGAGTCAGGCACTATGGTGTCCTCTGGGCTTGTGATACAATCTACACATTTCATCTGCCTGGCACTTCTGTGCCCGCATTTTAGAGTATGGCCATGTCACCTGGGTGCTTGCTTCCTGTGCGGCACACATGGGTGAGCAAGTCATGTGCAGCGAGCCCAGACAGCAACAGGGGGGAAAGGGTGAGTCCAGCTATCTTTGGAAGAGGAACAGACTTGTTCTGTCCCTCCACGGAGGCAGAAAGAGAAGCACTGGGCATCCGGTACAGAAGGATGTGTTCTGACAGGCAAAGGACGGTCTTGAGGAGGTTCAGAGGCAATGTCCTCCAATGGCACTGTCCAAACAGAGTGACTCCCTGTGTCATGTTCAGTGTGCCATCTGCCAGCCATAACTCAGATGCAGGGTCCCAGGATGCTGGGACTGATGGCAACATGACTTTTTCCCCATCCATGATGAAAATGCAAAAACAAAGGCATCTTAATGACTTGTCCTAGGTTACTTATGTTTCAGCTCAGGTGATTTCCCACACTTTCCATGTTATTTGTCAAACGTCATTTTATCAGTGTAGTGATCAGTGTTAGCTGGCATCTCTGCATTAATCCTTAGGGTATTTCTTTTTAATTTTACTACTCAGTGAAACGCTTAAAGTCTTAAAACTCCTAAATGAGATGACCTTTGAAGCTCTGAGGTCTTTCTAGGCATGGTGAATCACATCTGTAATCCCAGCTACCTAGGAGATAGAGATCAAGAGGATCACAGTTCAAGTCCAGCTTAGACAATAAGTTAGTGAGACCCCATCCCAACCAATAAGCCAGAGATGGTGGTGTGTGTCTGTGGTCCCAGGTACATGCCGTAGGTAGGATGGTGGTCTAAAGCTAGCCTTGAGGAGGGGGTATCCTGGAGACCCTACCTGAGAAGCAACTAGAGCCAAAAAGAACTGAGCATGGCCCAGGTGCGAGGCAAGTTCAAGTTGCTGAGCCAGTACTACCAAAAATAATTTTAACAAGATCTGAGATCCCCTTTGTTTCTATTCAGGATTCTCTGACTTTTACATAACACTCAGCTGCCATTGAAAGAGTGCTCGTGACATGAAACAGAGGTCAGTTTTGTTCATGGTGGAGCCTGGTGTTCAACTCCTGTCAGAAAGGTTATTATAAGAATTATTCAGCTCAGATGTTACTTCTTTTTTCTGGCAGTCTTTCTGTTACAAATTTCATCTTAATCCAAAATGGCATGTACTAAGAAAGAATCAAAATTCCTTTTGTGCTAATATCTTTAGCAAAGTTTAAACAATATGAGTTTTGGTGTCAGCAGATAAACCTGAATTAGCACATTCAGTCCCAGTCTGATGGCCCAAGGCTAGTTTCTCTAAGGTGTAATACTACCTTATAGACAGTGTGGCAACTAAGCCACTTGGCAAGGGCTCCCTCCACGGCAGATGACAGCTAGTCATCGGTAGGTACCACTGGGTAGACAATTCTTAAGACATGGTCTATACACGTGTTAGTACTAACAAATGGCAAGCGTTTACCAAGGTTAGAAGCACCGGCCACATTCAAATAACACATTTTGGGGTTTCTGTGTGGTCTTGTACAAATTTTCTGAATGTATTACGGCATTTTATTTTTGCCTGAATCATTGCATTGGTTTTACTTAGCCTACTTTTATGCTGTTATCACACCAACACGTGCCTTTTTATCTGGAGGAAAAACAATTATTTTCATTATGTATTTCCTTTATGAAATAAACATGTTAAAGCTTTTTAGTGCTGCTTTTTACACCATTCAGTAGAAGACCATTGGGATGTATTTGTTTTGAAACCAGCAATCCCTCTTTTTTTTTTTTCATTTTTCTTTTATTATTCATATGTGCATACAAGGCTTGGTTCATTTCTCCCCCCTGCCCCCACCCCCTCCCTTACCACCCACTCCGCCCCCTCCCTCTCCCCCCACCAATACCCAGCAGAAACTATTTTGCCCTTATTTCTAATTTTGTTGTAGAGAGAGTATAAGCAATAATAGGAAGGAACAAGGGTTTTTGCTGGTTGAGATAAGGATAGCTATACAGGGCATTGACTCACATTGATTTCCTGTGCGTGGGTGTTACCTTCTAGGTTAATTCTTTTTGATCTAACCTTTTCTGAAGTACCTATTCCCCTTTTCCTATTGGCCTCAGTCAGCAATCCCTCTTTAAGAGGAAAATGCAGCTTTGATACAAATGGACTCAGTCTGCCTTTTAGTCTTGACAAGTGATTTATAAACTGACCTACACCAGGAAGGGTCCAGTCTAGCCCCAAGCAGGTGCTGCTGTTCAGAACACTGTGTCACAGCGATCTGACTGTCCAGGTGGCCCTGTCCTGGGTGGCAAAGTGGCTGTCCTCTTGACTTTTCAGAACATGCTGGTTTATTTACAGTTTTCTTCATGAGTGGAGATGACTTTAGCCTCACAGAGCAGTGTTAACTCTGGCCTAACAGAGTTGGGACAACTGCCTTGGTCCCCTGAATCTCAGCTTTTCACCTAGAAGTTAGAGGGAATAGCAGTTACTACTGGCATGCAACAGCCTTGTTAGAATCTCAAGTGTTTATTGCTGTTGATATTTGTTATTTGATCATCGCTCAGTCATTCTACTAAAAGCAGAACATCTCCCAAAGCTTTGAGAAATTCTTTCTCTGTGATTATTGAAAATAAGCCTCAGTTTAATCTGTCTTTATGATGGTCTCGAGGTAGTGCTGGCTCCGTGTTTCCCAGGGTTTGATTGCCATCACGAATCTTCCATGTTGTATCTTCAGATGACATTTATACTGTGAGCTTCTACTCACAGGTAGACATCAGATTCATCTTGAAGCCTGTGTAACCAGACCTGTCTTTGCATTTTACTTCTATTTTGCAAATTTTAAAAGCTGAGTCCATAAATTGGATGTTGTTCGTTCTCACTTTTGGCTCTCTTGTGGATTATGCCTACTCGTTACTGCCCATGGGTGTATTAGTTTATTTTTCTGGGTTTGTTTTATTTTGTTTTTTGGCAACAGAACACTATAAAAAATTAAATGGGGAAAATGAGAGTTTGAGACTATTAAACCATAGCAATAGAAGGTTTTGTCTCCAGATCCTAATTTGAAACATTACCAAGTAGCTTTTCAGTATCGGAGGCACTTGGGTTTTAATTTCGCTGTACTTTAGGTGTTTAATACTGACTTCCCATTGATTAGTGCATGGCACTGTGCCTCATGATCTCCGCTCCAGCACTGTTCTTTGCAGAGTCCTGCTAGCTTTGCCAGTTAGAACACATAAGCCCTGCATTGCTATTGTGATTCTCTTGATTTGCATTTTTACAAGAGGTAAAAATGACAAGCCTGCCAGGCAGAGCTGACTGTAATGCCAAAGAAAATGCTTTCTAGAAGTCTTCCCTTCTTATGAAAAAATCATGTTGTTTTTTTTAAAAAAACAGTAACTACTGAAATAAGCATGTACAAGTGCTTATTTTTCCAAATGATGTTACAAATAGATGGTTCAAATAAAATATATCAAGGTCTGTTTGAAATACAGGCTTGGGTATGGGAACCACCTCCGCAGAGTGTCAGACCCCTTTGCAAGGGAGGCGCCATGGAGTGGCCATTTGAGCCAGGCCACAACCAGGGGCCTGTACAGCAGATGGCTGGGCAGAGGTGAATTGGCATTCCTGACTGGCCACTTTTGAGTTGGTTCAGCTAGTCTTCACTGGAGTTGGGTGGGAACCTGGCTAAATCTGTTAGTTTTCTTTTTGAATTTACACAACTTAAAAAAAAAACCAAAAAACAAAAAAAACCTTCCATTATCCATGTGTTTTCCTTTTCCTCTTTGCAGGCAGGTAACTTGCAAACTCACCTCCGCCGGCATTCTGGTGAAAAGCCATACATCTGCGAGATCTGTGGAAAGAGGTCAGTGCTGGACTTGGTCTGCACATGTAAGGAGCCACTGTGCTCTGAGTGCCCAGTGCCCTGTCACTATGGTACATTCACACCCTCTTGCTGCTCATGTGACACACAAGAGAGTAAGAAGAAAAAAAATGGAGGACAGGAATCTTAGGAAGAAAAGGGGACTTGACATGGAATGAATTATTTCATACTAAAACTTTCATTTATTCCACAGTCATCCCTGAGAATATATCAATGTCTCCAAGGAGGGGAAATGGCACTAAACCTCAGGAGACAAGGTGACAGAAGGTGCCTGAGCCCATACAGGCTGTAGGTACATAGCAGGAAGGACGGCCCTCAGCCTTAGTGTGGGTGGGTTTCCACCTGGGATGAGCAAGCTGACCTGCAGCAGAGGCTCTGCCTCTTGAGGTGGCATGAGCCATGTGGCAGTTCACTCCTCCACGCAGCATGGTGTCAAGTGGTCTGTCCCTCCTGTGCCAAGGTCCCCAGTCTCTCCCCAACTCCCCTCGCTAGATTACTTGTCTAGCTGTGCTAGACAGCAGGCATCAGCCAGGCCCACGTCACAAGCCTGATGGGCACTGCTCACCCCGCGTTTGTACTCTTATCACTTACTCATTGAACGTTGGTTATGCCTGCCATATGTAATGGGAGTATAAACCCCAACCATACAGGTTTCTCTGCCCATGACAAGTTCACACTGAAGAGCGTTGAGATCAGATGGATGCAGGGACAGTTAGAAGTCGGAGTCCTCCCACACAGCCTGCAGCACACAGAAGGAGAAGCAACTCCTGAGTTCCATTCTGGAACACATGTGAACCTGCAATGGTAGAAAACAGAACGAAATGAGAGCCCCCAGCAAGCCAAGTATCCCTTCCAGCCACAGCTGTGTGAGCAGTGAAAGCCAAGCTCAGTGCCAGGAATTACCTGCTCTCACCAGGTGCCCAGCAGCATAGACCCACTGCCTCAGATGTCACTTCACACGAGCTTCTGGGTGTCTTCTGCAGTGTTTTAAACCGGAAGCTCCTTAGCTCCATGTGAAGTCATCTATACGTGCCACACCTTCCTAGAATAGAGCACACCAGAGACTTCCATGGAGCGAGCCTGGGTTGGGATCACCACCTGAGCAAGCTGGTGACCATCTCTGCACTCAGCTTCCCCATCTGGAAGGTGGGGAGTGTGACACAGTTGGGGTGCTGGCTGTTAGACATCTGTCTTGTCACCTGGCTCACAGCAGCTGCTCAGTGCTTGTTGCTCCCTCTCCATTTAGTTCCCTTCATTTCTGTGTTCCAGGATAGGTGTTTGTGGCCCCCGGAGACAAATGAGAGCACTCGTTCTCTAGGGGTGTTCAGGTTATAGGAGGGCAGGCTCTCAGAAACCTTTACGGCCCCACTGCATCTCAGCTTCTGAAACCCTGGGACTCCCATGTACAAGTCACCCTGTCGTGAGAAAAGCCAGTGTTCCTGCAAAACCCTGGACTGTCTTTAAGGTGCTTCTTTGCTTGGCCCCACCACACTGGGGTGTGTCCCACAAGCCCCTGGCAGGACAGTACCAAAGGGCCTTGCTGTCCTCAGAACTAGACCCTTCTCTTTCTCTAGCTCCTGACATAATGATGCTAAACTACATAACCTCTGACTTTGTGCTGTTTAAAACCAAAGAAAATATTTTAACAACAGAACTTGGATTATTTTCTACTTTCCCTCAAACCGAGGGAGCAGGCAAGGTTTTTGTTTGGTTTTGTTTTTTGTAGTACTGGGTTTGAACTTGGACTCTACACCTTGACCCTCCACCAGCCCTTTTTTGTGATGGGTTTTTTCGAGATAGGGTCTCACAAACTTTTTGCCCAAGCTGGCTTTGAATCGTGATCCTCCTGATTTCTGCCTCCTGAGTAAACTAGGATTACAGGCGTGAGCTACCAGAGTCTAGCTAGGCAAGGTTTTTAAAGTGCACGTTTCAGGTGACGTCAGGCCACACCTAACTCCGTTCTGAAGTAGTGGGAGCAGAGTCTCCTGCAGTGACTGGGTTACAAAGGTCCTCAGTGGAGTCACCAGGCACAATAACATTTTCTAATTGCCTTGCAGGTTCGCAGCCTCTGGTGACGTCCAGCGGCACATTATCATTCACTCGGGAGAAAAGCCGCACTTGTGTGACACCTGTGGCCGAGGTACAGCTGCGCGCTTCCTTCGCGCACCTTCTGCATCAGGTGCTCGTCCTTCCACTCACCCTGCTGTGCTCTCTCTAGGCTTCAGCAACTTCAGTAACCTGAAGGAGCACAAGAAGACGCACACGGCCGACAAGGTCTTCACCTGTGACGAGTGTGGAAAGTCCTTCAACATGCAGCGGAAACTGGTGAAGCACCGCATCCGGCACACGGGGGAGCGGCCCTACAGCTGCTCTGCCTGCGGTGAGTCTCCCCACGGGCTGCTGAGGGCGAGGCGCCCTGCCCCACTGCCCCACGTGTGTGCTGGGACGGTGCTTGCTGATGCCAGTGGGGCCGCAAGTGCATACGTGACTGACACTGGTCTTCACAGTGTTCTGCTTAGAACAGTGAGGAAGTGTGCATGCTGTAGAATTCACCACTTAACATGAACAGCTCAGTAGGCTTTGTATATTCACCAAGTTGTGAGACACCACCGTGTAATTTTAGGACCTTTTTGGCACCCCTAAAGAAACCCCATACATTAGCAGGCACTTTCATGTCCCAGCCACCCGCAGCCACTGGTCTGCCTCTGTCTGGATTTGCCTGTTGTGGACATTTCTGTAAATGGAGCTGTGTGGCACAGGTCTTTGTCACATCTGCTGTGAGAACCATGTACTTGGTTTTGCCTGGTCGTGTCTGTTTCCTCGGGGTCATGGGCAGGCTTGATGCTGACTGAGGTGGCTTCCAGTTCTGAGCTTTGCAGCATTTAGAGCTGCTGTGTCTCCGGTCCTTCCACAGTTCTCTGCAGCCTTCCCTCCCATCCCCGACGTGTAACTGCACTTCCCAGAGGCGGTGAGCTCTCTCCTCCAGCTGGCCTTTCTCAGCCCTGCGCTTTGGAGCACTTTTCTTGGAGTCTGTTCCTGGGGCTTTCCGGCCCTCTGGGTGGTTCTCTAATTGGATTCAAGCAGCTGCAGGATGAGCTTTGCTGATGAGCATGTGACCCACTGCATCGCAGTACAGGTCACCCTCTGCTCTCAGAGCAGCTGGCCATGGAGAGGCAGGGGCCACTCTGCCATGCCCTCCTCATGGCAGGGACCCAGGCTGAGCCAAGTGCCTCTTGAAGGAGAGACTTCTCTCACCCCCTTCTGTCCTTGTGGTAACTTGACTGTGACTAAGGACCCTGAAAATGGTTGCCCCACCTCCCCCAGGAACCCAACTGTTTTCTCAAAGACCGTGAAAGAAAGACAAACGCATCATGCCCAAAGATGTCAGTGGAACCGCTTGTGTGTATCATGTTTTGTAATAAGCAGTTGGAAACAGCAGTAAAGGAACAGTTAGGAAGCTTTTACTCCAGAAAGTACCACGAACCTGAACGCACTCTAAAGATAACATAGAGCTGTAGAAATACTTTCACTGTCGTGTTATGTGAGGAAAGCCCAGCATTGAGGAAATCGTAGAAGTAGAGCACAGCAGAGTTACTGTGGTGTGGTTTTATATGGAAAAGGGCCCAGAGTTTTTAGTGCATGGGTGGTCCCATCCAGTTTGACTGTTCAAAGCCCTTTTTCTTAATACCCTGCCTGTTGCTAAATGACTGTGCATTCACAGTTAGGGACATGCTGTAAGAAGTTCCAAATATATCCCCATATATAAATCATGCATTTTACTCTCAAAGAGACCTTCATAAACATGATATATCCTCTATAGAAGAGTTAGTTAGTTGTGGAGTTTTCACTTCTCCTCCTACCTGTTTTGGAGATAAATCTCTTACCCGTGTCTCATGCCTGCAGGAGAGAAGAACACACACAATCTGTTACAACTGAACACAGACACCTTCAGGAAAGGCAGCCCTGATTTTAGACTAGCCCTGTTTAGACTTAGGACACTTGAGTGGCCCTGAAAGGGAAGAGCTGTGGCTCTCAGCCAGATGGCAGGAGCAGGCCCGCTGGCTGCCCAGGTGAGCCCCATGCAGGGGACTCAGTGAGTCCCTAGAAGACTTGTGCTGAGATGCTCAAAACCTGGCCTTGTTGGAAAGGGACCACAGCTTGGATGTAGCACCCCAAAGTGAGCAGTGCCACGAGACCACCAATTCTACTGCATGTCTTAGGAGGGGACAGGGAACCCTTCTAGAACAGCCACTTCTAAAACCATCACTTTGTCTCCTCAGGGAAATGTTTTGGAGGCTCAGGTGACCTGCGCAGGCACGTCCGTACTCATACCGGGGAAAAGCCATACACGTGTGAGATCTGTGACAAGTGCTTCACCCGCTCTGCTGTGCTCCGGCGGCACAGGAAGATGCACTGCAAAGCTGATGCTGGGAGCCCAGATGTGCTGGATGAGCTCGGTCAGGCCATTGAGACCTCCGACCTGGACAAGTCTCAGAGCTCTGATTCCTTCCCCCAGGACATGGCCGTGACCTTGATGCCAGGGTCGGTAAAGCTCCCTGGGCACCCAGGAGAAAATGCCACAGCAGAATTTGATGAGCACTCCGCCAACTCTTACTGTAAGCTACGCTCTGTGCTCCACCCTCCTGGGGTGAGCGACCAGGAGAAACTGAGCCTGGATCCCACTAAGCTTGCCAAGCCTCAGGTGCCGCAGAGCCAGCCCCAGGTGTACACTTACTCAGACACAGACACCTCAGCTGGCAGTGAGCCCCTGCCGGCTGATGGCATGGCCATGATCCGCTCCTCCCTGGCCACTCTGGACAGTCACTGCAGTGATCCTCTGGGCAGCCGTGTGTCCTCCACAGCTTACAGGAACTCAGAGGGGCAGTTTTTCTCCAGCATGACCCTCTGGGGGCTAGCGATGAAGACACTGCAGAATGAGAATGACTTGGACCAGTGATGTATCACGTCAGCGTCCCCAGCACTGGTGAAGTTTGTCAGTGGCTGACTGGTCTCAAGGCTACAGGAGTGAGCTCTCCTGCCCGGTCCTGCTGTCTGACCTCTGACCTCCAGAGATGATTTAGGTGATTTCCCTCCTGGTGGCTTTAGGTTACCTGAGCGTGGTCTCAGGGTTGGAAGAAAGACCTGCTGGCCCCCATGGCGATGGCCAGGGAGTGGGGTGTTCACGTCCCTGCAGCCGAGGGCCCAAGCATCTTGTCAGTTCAGCTAGTGTGAGTGTACCTGTGTCAGCTGCTGTGCACTGTGGTCATGCTAAAGGAAGTTCATGTGTAATACGAATACTATTTTTAATTTTTATAAGACACATTCATAGCATTTTGTATTTTTAAATATTTACAGATTCTATTTGTATATGAAGCTCAATAATATAACTTAAATAAATGGAATTTGCTTTTCTAATACATGTTTTCTCCAGCACCTTCATTACTCTGAAGACCATAATGATATAAATACCAATGCACGAGACCCTGGGTTAGATCCTCAGCACTGCAAAAAAGATATTTTGTGGTACTTGGGTTTGAACTCAGGGCCTCACGCTTGCTAGGTGCTTTACCACTTGAGCCAAGTCCTCAACCCTCACTGCCAAAAATAAAATAAAAATAAAAACTCTGAAGACCGGGATGCCAGGATAAGTCCCAAGTCCTGTCGTTCTGTTGTCCCAGCCTGCTGGGTCTAAGCGCAGGCAGAGCAGCTGACTGCTGACAGTCACTTCCTGGGTTGGTCACAGCCAACCACTCAGACTCTCAGGGTGTTTTCTGGGTTCGCTTTCTTCAGTGTGAGATAAATACCATGCATACAACACTCAAATGACCTCATACCACTTGGAATTACCCGCCAGGGTCTGGCCCCAGCCCTGTATTTTCTCCTCTTCCTCCTGGCAGACCTGAAGTTCTCAGAACACCGTATCCACAGCACTGTCACTGGAATGTCCAGGTGACATCGCAGGTGTGGAAGTGTAGCTGCCATGTGGCACAATGTGGATTTTGTAGGACTAGAATGTTCAAGAGCACCCTTGATCCTCACCTTAGCACCTCTAACTCAGGAGTGTATGTGCCCAGCAAGAGAGTTTCATAGAAAACAGCACAGTCGTGGAGCAGAGGCAACTGTGAAGTCAGGCTCGGGGTCCTTCCTGGTGTCCCAGCTATCTGCTGCATTGCAGTCCCCAGGGGCTGATGCAGCAAGCAGGCAACATCCCTTTGTGCCAGTGCAGAACCTGAGCCATGCGGGGCTTAGCATTTGCCAGGGGACACACCTCTGAGAGGGTGGGCACCCTGTGTGGAGCGAGCCTGAGAGTGACGTGGAGCCTGATGGTCACACTGTGACCTCCCTCATTTTCTCCCACTTATCTGCCACTGCTTCTTCCAGTCCTGCCCACAGTAGCCTTTCATTCCCCCTGGGTCCTGCAGCCCTTGATCCCCATCTCATCCCCGTGGACGCTTCAGTTACACCCTGTGGCCATCATGCACAACTCCCCGCCCAGCTCCTCACATAGACCTGGCAAACCTCCACTCTGCCCTCTGTGCCTCCATAAGGGGAGCTGCCCCAGCTGGGGAGTAACAGCCTGCTCCAGCGTCTAGGCAGTGCACATCTTCCGAGTTTCCTCCTCTTCCATCTTCCAGACTTCCCTCTAATCTAGATCCACGTCCTTCTCAGGCCTCGCACCCTGCCCTTTTCTACTCATCTTCCTTCCTACTCATTTGTGTCAGAACGCTGACACAAAGGGAAAGGTTTGTTCAGGCCCCGCCACATGACCACCCCAGTGTACGTGCATCTGCAGACTGCACCAGTCTTAAACTAAAGACACCTCCCACCCCCCACTTCCCCTGCTTTGCCTCCTAGGATGCAGCCCTGTCTGAGCCACTGTACACGTTACACTTCCTTTGTTTCCCACACGGGATGTGAGCCCCGGGAGGCCCATAGCAGTGCTCAGTAAACTCTGCCCGGTGAGTGTTTTTGGAATGCCTTTTAATGAAATATCGATCCTCTGATTGGTCCTCTGAGTTTACTTGTGAACCCTGCTCATTCACACTTTGATCCCAATACTCCAGAGACACTTTGCATTAGGACTGCCCCGTGGCTAAATCCATTGATCAATTCTCTCTCCTCCCGCTGGGGTGACTCTCAGACAGTACCCGATCCTCGAGCAGTATACCCATTCTTCCCCTCTATAGGAGGAACTGAGAGGCCCACTCACCCCTCCATGTGCTGGTGGCTTAGACATAGTCCTTCTCCACCTCCCCAGCCCACCTCTGAAAGCCCGGGCCCCTCTCTCTTGACCTCCCAACTAGTGATTGTAAGTGCTATCTCTCTGCCTGTGACCACCCCCAAGCTTGAATCTATCCCAGGCCTCTCCCCAGAACTCTAGAATTAGGTACCCAGCTGCCAGCCAGAAGCCATACCCAGTGTCCAGTGGGCATCTCAATTGACAGCCTTCATGCCTAAGCCCATTCCCTAGCCCTTTTTTCCCTTCTCTTGCCACCTCATCAGAGACACCCCCATTTTCCAGTTACTCAAACTAAAACCCCGTCTTCCTTTTTTCCCTTTGTCACCCTATCCCCAAAGCCTTACCCTAAATAAAGAAAAATTTAGATAAGATGAAAAGGCTTGGATATGTATGAAAGCACACTTGGACAGAAAATTGTCTGGTGCTAGATCAGGCCTTGACTTTGTGTCCTGCACACAGCATGGGCTATCCACAACAAGAATAAGAGTGTGTGTGTGTGTGTGTGTGTGTGTGTGTGTGTGTGTACACAAGCTCATGCCTGTGCACACACTATTGATCCCAGAGTCAGGAGACCAGGCTTGTGTTCCTAGCTCTGTTGATGATGACAAATGCCCTTCCCTGCCTGGTCTCCAGTGTCCTAACTATGGAATCCTACAGAATTTCAGTCCTCTCCTCTGGTTCTCTAAGACTTACCTGTGATGAGATGAGGTTCCTATAGAACCTGCCAGGGTTTAGCACTGGCTTTCATTACAAAATTAGGGGGGCAGAGGCCAAGAGATTGGGCAGGTCTTCAGAAAACTCCCAGTATCTTTGAATGTCTGAGCTGGAAGGAACCTTAGAAAAGTCATCTGTCTCCCCAGAGTCGGTGCTCTATGAGCTCAGCTGCAAGCTGACGTGGATTCTGTCTGATTCTGTGGTCAAGGCCCAGCCCTAGGAACCTACACCTTAGCGGGGTTCCCAGAAGATCTGGAGGGCAGGCAGGGCCAGGGCAGGACTTGAGGGAATTCTGTCTAGTCTGCATCCTTCACCATGGAGAGGCCCTGGCATGGGAGGGGAGGAGTGCTATGAATTCTGTCTATCCTGTGCCATTAAGGTTCTTACTAGCCCTGTGACACAGATCTCACCTTTGTCCCCATTTCCAAATGGGGCAAGTGACTCCCTGAGAGGTCAAGGGACTTACTGCATACTACCCAGCCAGGAAGTAGAATAGTGAGTTCCTTGGAGCCTAGGGTTCCTTGATGGCAAAGCCCACGGCCAGGATCAGACCTGGCTGGATTCAAAGGCCGGGTCCACCTGCCAGGTTGCTGACGGGTCCTGAGAGATACATGATATCCACGATACGTGAACCTCACTCTTCTGCGGAAGTGTCAGGCAGCTTTCCATCACTGGGACAAAATGCCTGCGATAAAAACTCAAGAGGAGGAAAGGTTTATTCTGCCTCACGGTTTTCATCCATGGCATGACCACTTACAACAGGTGAGCTGTGACCTGGCCACCTCAAGTGCTTAGCCCCATTGCCTTTGGGCCTGTGGCGAGGCAGATCATCTGGTGGGAATGTGGCAGAGGAAATGACTCAGCAGCTGGTGGCATCCAAGCAGAGAGACGGGTTGGGGGATGGAAGAGGAAGGACCCGTTATAATATTCTCTCTAAGGGTGACCTGACTTCCTCCCACTAGGCCTTACCTCCTAAAGGTTCCACCTCCGCCCCAGTAGTGCCACCAGCTTGGAAAACCTTCAACACATGAGCTCTTGGGGGACACTGCAGATCCAAACCATAGCTGGGAGCGTCTTACATTGTTCTTCACGGCTTATTTTCTTAAACTGTTTGTACTAGATACATGGACAGAAGAGAAAAATGAGGACGTAAAAAGAGCAAATTTTATCACCTCGAGATGATGGTGATGGGGGTACTGATTCCAGGACTTCTATCAACAGTAGCCCTCTTGGCCACACGTTGCCCCTCAATCCCTATGACACTGCTGAGAGGCAGCACTCTGTCACTGTCACTCCTGGGCTTGGTTCCTTCTCAACCCTCTTCTTGATTCAGACTCTCACCTGTTCACAAGCGGCTCACACCACACACGCTACTTGGTCTGTACGCAGTAGTAGCCTTCTTATGGAGCCAGTTGCCATAAGCATCTCTGCTTGTCAAAAACGTCCGTTCACATCAGCGTTCTGAGTCCCTGTGTGAGACTCCTGTCCTGCTTCCCCTCAGCTTGAGGATCCAAGCAGAGTGCAGCTGCCCATCCACGAGAGCCCTCTTCCCCAGTGGACCAGGCTCCAGCCACTCCGGCTGCCTTGTGCTGGCTGGTCCTGCAGCCAGCAGATGGCACTGTCACCACTCACAACAGGCAGAGCGTGAGACCTGGTGACCTCCAGTGCTAAAGTGCCACGGAGTCTCCTGTCTGAGCCCTGTGACATTTCCACGGTCTCTGCCTTAGCTTCCCTGAGCCCTCTCGGGAGCCTGTGGGGTGGTAGCAGTCCTGTCCCCAGTATGGAAGAATGTGTCCCAAGAAGGGACCTGGTTATTTTCCAAGCTTGTTGAGTGCTGTCCACACCCCAGACTCTAGTGTCCATGCTGGGGACCACACAGCCTGGACCCTGTCCTCCCACTCTTAACAAAGGACTCCGCCCACCAGTGCTATGACCTCATACAAGGTCCCAGAATTCTGGGCCTTTGTGACTCTGGCTATAAAAAGTAATTAGCTTCCTGTAAGCATGGGTGAACCTTGAAAACACTGTGTCACATGGAAGATGCTCAACACGAGACCACATTCTACCTGACACCATTTCTATGAAATGTCCAGTATGGCAAAAATAGAAGGTGGAGAGGGGGTTGCCAGCGCCTGGGGAAGAGGAATGGAAAATGAGCGCCTCGGGGAAGAAGTTTCTGTGGGGGACAATGAAGACGTTCTAGAACTAGGACTGGATTGTGTCCCCCTCATTCATATTCATGCGTTGAAGGCTTAGCACCCCATGTGAAGGAGGTAAGTAAATAGGTCACAAGAGTGGGGACCTGATCGCTAACCCAGTGACTGGTGTCCTGGTAAGAAGGGACACCAGAGC